CAGTGGCTGCTACATCATTACATTACTTAGGGTGCCTTCCTGCCCCACCTCCTCTCTCTGAGTGCCCACCATCTTTCTTGACGGGCCATAACTTTCAATATTAGTTGCCTTTGTGCTCACCCACCAGCCCAGGACAAAACCACAGCATCGTAATAATTCATAGCTCTTCAGGGTTTACAAAACATTTCCCTCAGAAGAACTCCACGAGGTCGATAATACAAAAAGTATTATTTCCATTTCATGGAGAATGAGGCTAAAAGGATTGGGTGACTTGCTCATGGTCACATGGCTAGTTAGTGTTGGACTTAGGATCTGAATTCCAATTTCGTGACTTCAAATCTAGTAATCTTTCTATTACTCTTTCTACACTGCCTTGGTGAAGATGGGTTTTGTTGTCTTCAGGCCCTGAATGGCATCCCTTCCCAAGCCCTGCCCTAATACCCTACCAGTACTTTCCCTCCTGAAAACCACCACCACCACCACCACTGCCACCTATTCTTACGAAATTAACAGAAACTCATGCACACTGAGTTTGGATTAATTAGATTAATATGGTCTTTTACCCAAGGGTACCCTATTTAGTATAAGTCTTACAGGGTGGGAAAGAACTTCCTAGTATGCCCAGAAAGCATGCTGAAAGTCATATTGTCAACAGGCTGACCCTGCTTTCTCATAGAGGGTGGCCAAAGGTGTTCATTTATAACCTATAAAAGCTGGGACCCTTTAGCATCATCAGATCAGAAGAGCTGCAGACAGAAGGGCCTTTAGGGAACATTAAATCTGATACCTATCATCTGAAGTCCAGAAAAACTAAGCAATTTCCCCAAAGTTACGTAGGCATTAAGTAACAGAGATGAGACTGAAGCTCAGGTCTTCAGCCTCCTGCTCCAGTACTTTTATCCATTATACTGATTCTCTGTTAAGAAGAGCCTGGGCCACTTTACCTGCAGAGCCAGTTTGACTTTCTTGGTAACAGCAGTTTCAGGAAAGGTTGCTTGCACCATAGGGACCAGCTTGCTCTTTAGAGACCCCCCTTCAGGGCCAATCATGTCAAAGTCTTGGCACAGGCGAGACATGACCACAAAATACAAGGGGAAGTCTGTGGTGATAATCCGGCAAACCCGCTTCTTTTCCAGCTCCTCCAAGCTCTCCAGTTCTGCAGACACCAAAAAAATAAACCTTCCTGGTCATGACAGATGGCTACCCAATACCCTGCTTTTGGAGAAATGGGGTCATCTTTCACCCTGCTGCCCTTCTCCCCAACATGGACCACGTGCCATATAGTCAAGGCAGTCCTAATACCCTGGATGGCTTAGACAGGACAACCAGGAGTGATGCCTTAGGAGTCAACAGTGACTGCTTGGATTATCTGCATAGGATCGAGAGTTGAGTCCTTAGAAAGAACCTATCCAACCCCATCACTTTGTAGGTGAGAAAAATGAGGCTCAGAAAGTTGAAATGACACAGCCAAGGTAATCAGTCAGGACATAATAGAGATAGGGTCAAATCCAGGTCTCCTGGCTCTTAGTTCTTTGCTCATTGTATTATACGTCTGGAATTTTGACAGCAGCAGGTCGATCTCAAGCCCTAGAACTCTTGCATCCTTCCTATCCCCTTTTCCCAAAGCACAGGAGGGACGGGTGGTGGTGGAAGCATTTGGACCTCCTCTTCTTAGCTGTTGCCTCCATTGCAGCTACATCCCTCCTGCCTTCCCCCAGCTCTGATCTCAGGGCTTTTTTTTCCTTCTTCTTTTCTTATTTGTTTTGCCTAATACCTGCTAACAGTGAGCTAATTTGCTAAGTTTGTTGTACTGAAGTGCTAAGGGAGAAAGTTATAGGAATCTCCCAGTATTCTTCCCCTAGTTCCAAGGTCACACCAGTACATTAGAACAATGGCCTTCTGAGGACAGTATTTGATTATTATTTGATCTTTCTATTATATTAATTTGTACAAATAAAGTAATAAAAACAAACTGAGATGAAAATAGTGTCAAATTTCTTCGGCATCAACTGAAAACCATATGTATATAATATACATGTGTATATATTCATAAGCATGAGTTCTGTCACGTAAACTCTCTGAGTTCATGTAATAATAATTATAATAACCATGAAAACTACAACTATATATTTAGGTAGCACAATGGATAGGGCACTGGACCTAGAGTTAGGGAGACTTTAGCTCAAATTGGGCCTGACATTTATGAACTATGTGACCCTGGGCAAGTCACTTGAACTCTGTCTGCCTCATTTTTCTCATATGTAAAATGGAGATAATAATATCCCCTACCACACAGGGTTGTTGTGAGGATCAAATGAGATGATATTTGTAAAGGTCTTTGCAAACCTTAAAGCTTGATATAAATGCTAACTATTAGTATTATTATATATATAGATACAAACATATATATGTATGTATGTGTGTATATTTATGGCTTTAAAGTTTATAAAGTGATTTCCTTACAACAATCCTGTAAGGTAGAAAATGTATTACTGTCCCCATTTTACAGATGAGGAAGGAGATTGAGGTTTAGCAAAGTTGGGTAATTTGCCCAGGTTTATATAGTTAGTAAGTTCTGGGACTCCAAATGAAGTCTTCTGATTCTGAGATCACAGCCTTTTCCACCACACCATACTGACTGTCCTGGGTACTAGAAATTCGGCCATCCCCTAGAGGCCCCTCTGGACACCTTCACTCAAGGAGGCCCCATCCATTCTGGATCCCATTTCAGGGCTCTGTCTCACCACTGGCTCTGTACGCAGTACTGGGCCCCCAGTTACCTTCATCCATCCCATTGAGGGCTTGGTCAAGATAGCTCTCTCCATAGCGGTCCCGATGCTCTTTCCACATGGAGCCATTCTCACTCCGAAGCACCACCAGCTCTCGGTCTCCTCGACCGTGGGAGGCAAAGTGGGGGATTTCCACAATCACGGGGCTAGGATCAAGAGCAAGACTCAGGAGGATATTAGAAATCCTGGGGAGGTCAGGGACCGAGAGGAAAGAAGCCAATGCTTGGCTGGAAGGAAGAAAACCCTCCCTTCCCCTTGTAGGTGACTATACATTTGGTGAGTTTGTGACAAAACCACCTGATTGATGGCAGGTTCCCACCAGGGAAAAAAAGATTTTTTCTCCGGTTGCTGGGAAGGGAAGAAAATAAGCATTTATTAAACACCTACTATATGCCAGGTACTGTGTTAAGTGCTTTACAGATATTATCTCATTTGACTTTCACAACAACTCAAGATGTTGATGCTATCATTATCTCCATTTTACAGTTGAGGAAACTGAGGCAGAGAAAAGTTAAGTGACTTGGCTAGAGTCACACAGCTAGTAAGTGAGTCTGGATCTGAACTCAGGTCTTCCTGACTCTAGGCCCAGCACTCAATCCACAGTGCTATCTAGCTACTGAATTTATGCCCCTTCCTTCCCTCATTTAAATATTCAGAATTTAGAACCAGGAGATCATCTAAATGACTATATAATCTAACTCCCTTGTTTAACAGCTGAAGAAATGGAGAATCAGAAAAGTGAAATGACTTGCCCACTGGCAGAGCAGGGATTTGAACCAAGGTCCATCCAATGCTCTTTCCACTGGACTCTGCTGCCTCCACATCTTGTACTCATCTGAGCTCTGCGCAACAGGTCAGGGCAAGGCAAAGGCACTAGCTTACCTTTCTTGCCTTACCCTAGGTTCTAGACAACCTGGAGGACTCATCCTCTTGCTATACTGCCAACATTCTCTCACTTCTAGGCTTTCTCCAAGTCTAGATTTTCCCAGTCTCCCATGCTCCTAGAATTCCTATTCCTCTTTTGAAGCCCAACTCAAATACCTCTTCCTCCAAGAAGTTTCCTCTGATTCCTCCTGTTGGCAATAGCCTTTCTTCTCTTGGACTTTGAATAACACTATGCTGGTTCCTCTTCCTTAAGTTTTCCTAGAGCTCTTTGTATAGATTTTGGCCTCTGTAATGTTTTACCTTGAATTATACTCACCAATGTGCATTTTATACCTTCCCTAGTAGACTGGAAGCTCCATGAAGGCAGGAAGAGTCTTCCTCCCCCCATCTTTTTATACCGAGTACCTAGCACAGTGTCTTGCAAAGAAGAGGCCTTTAATACATATTTCTTGAATTGAATATTGCCCTTGGGATCCATTATCTGGGATTGTCTTATAAGGGAGACTAGTTTAGAATGAGACTCTTAGTTAGTAACTAAGCCCCATTGGATGGCATCCCAGGCAAACTTTTATGTTGTATTTCATTAAGCACCACAATGGTCAGGTTCTAGGCATAGAGAAATCTACCAGGGTTATGGACCCCCAAGAAGGCAAGGGAAAAGAAGGGAAAATGGGAATAAAACCACCAATTTACTGGGGATTAAAATTCAACACTGTTCCTCCTCTTCATAAAGTACAGTCAGAAAATCTGGGGATGAATTTGATTGGCCTTCCCCCCAGCTCTCCTGGCTGTGTCAGTTACTGATGGTCATATTCCTGATGCCACAATCATGAGAGCAGCAGGTTGAAGGCAGGCTGCTCAGGGAAGGTGAATTCCATTCTGTTTCTCATCTCTTCCCATTATTCTTACCTCAGGAACTGGGCCCCTGTTGGCCCCAGTGCAATGATCCTACTGGCTAGGCCTTCTTCCTCAGCCAGGGGTGGTGGTGTGGTTAGCTTCTGAGGTTTGACCAGGCGGCAAGTAATGCGCGTGGGCGCTGCGCATGCCCGGGGTGGGATGATGACCCTCAGGCCATTGTGCCGACTTCCCCTCATGGAGTCTCCACGGGCATCAACCATGAAGCTCACCAGGAAGCTAGGAAGTCAGATGGAGAAATAGGTTGCTTCATGTCCTCTCCCTTCTCAGTGCTCTATCCCTCTCCTCTCCCCATACTCCCCCCCCCCAAAAAAACCCCACCCACCTCCAGCCACTGAGGACAGAGAGAATCTGCTATGTGACAGAGGCTGGAGAGTGTATCCAGCTGTGGGCTCCTTGAACCCAACACACTCACCCCGTATGTACTGGGCTGGCCACAGGACTAATATTATCTGATGTCTCTGTTGCTGGGCTGCTGGGAATCAATGAATCCTCATCAAATTCTTTAGATGCCTGAAGAGGAGATAAAAGGTCATATTCAAAAGTGATCTCCATTCCCCTTTACTGTCCATGGGGCTTTCTTGGCAAAGATACTGGAGTGGTTTGCCATTTCCTTTTCCAGTGTGTTCCTATTTTACAGATAAGGAAACTGAGACAAACAGAATTAAGTGACCAGGGTCACAAAGCTAATAAAAATCTGAGACCAGATTAGAACTTAGGTCTTCCTGACTCTAGGCCTAGTGCACTATCCACTGAGTCACTCAGCTGCTTTTGAACTCTGTAGCCTGACTTTTATTGCTCTGAATCAACTGGGTCACATCTTCTATACATTCTTATGTCTTATTGATTTCTTGTACTAACTAGGCCCGTCTCACTGTCCACTGGATGTACCAAGATCATTCTTGCTTTTGGCACCATCTGTTTAAGGTGCTTTTGCAGGTTTGGTCTCATTTTATTTTTACAATAACCTCCATGAGACAGGTGGCGCAAGGAGTAGTATCTCCATTTTACAGACAAGGAAACCCAGAGATGAGTGACAGCAGTGTTGGGCTTGAACCCTGACCTTATGGCTCCACCAGGTTCAAGGCTGTAACAGCTGGAATAGAACTCACATAACATCACTGCTGCCCTGAACAGGTGCACAGAAAATACATACCTTTCCCAGGTCTTTCCCTCAAACTTGCTGTCTCAGGAAGTCTGAGTCCTTGAAGATATCTTATCTAAAAGATGAGGGGACTGGACCAAAGGATCCCTAAGTCTCTTCCTGGCTCCAAATCTCATGATCCTATGTATGGGAATGAGCATAAATCAAGTGATGCATTTTTACCTGTTCTGGCTCCTCTGCTCTGATCACCACAGTCTCAGGTGTGACACACGGAATTCTGGGAATGGCTGGAGATTCTACCCTGTATTCAAATCACATGGAAAAAAAATCAGTGTGGGAGTTGGGGTCCATAACTTGATATTCCTTTATCTTTCCTGGAATGTCCTAATAAAATGACCCTCATTTCTTCTAATATACTGTCCAACCCTGCCCCCCACTCCCCTCTTGCACTGTAGTTGGTCTTAATGCCCACCCAGTGCATCAAACTTACCCTTCTTTGCACCCTTGCTTTTCATCCTCCTCTCAGACTAACAAAGTGAAGCCTGTTTTTAAGGCCTCTGCCCATTTCCTTAAGGCAAGGAAGTATAATAGAGTAGGGAAAAAGCAATGGATGAGAAGTCAGGAAACCTGAATTCTAGTCTTGGCCCTGACATTCATTTTCTGTGTGACCTTAGACAAGTCACTTTCTGTGACCAGCTTTCTGGTTCTCCATTTGTAAAATGAAATAGTTCTTTCTAATTTCAATAGTCTACAAATCTATGAATCTTGCATGAAACCTTCCTTCAGCCCACATTGTTTTCTCCTTTCTCTGAAGACATATGCCAATTGGATACACTCTTAATTTTGGCACTGGAATCTAAGTCTTTTATGCATCTGTTTCATGTGTGCCTGGTCTGTCCAGCTAGACTGTCACTTGCTGTAAGAAGAAGCCATGTCTTATTCTTTGGCATCCCCTATGATTGGGAGGGGATCCCTAGTGTTGGTTCCATTACAAGTGTCCAGATGATGCTAGCTGAAATTTTACCTGCCTCACAAATCTGCCTTGTTCACTTGGAGAATTCTTGGCATGATTATGTCTTACCAGAAAACACACACACACACACACACACACACACACACACAAAACTCGGTTATTGTTTTTAAGTGAAGAAAGGTTCAAGTGCAAATATCCACACGTACAAAGGCACCTGGCCTGGTTCAGTGCATATCTGTGAAGAAATGGGAGCCAACTGCCTACATCAACTGGGCTTGTCATTAAAGGTAGCAGATCAACAAAGGGCACTTTATACATGATCAGTGAAAGGAGGGGCCATTCATAACCCTAGTTGGGCAACAAATTTCAAATAAAAAACTCTACCAGTGATTTTTTTCCTATTAAGAAGTGAGGAGTATCTGTAGATGTGTGCTTGTGGTGGGGCTGGGGAAGGTAGGAAGGAGGGATCATAGTAGTAGTAGGAGCATAAAGAACTATTAATTTCCTGCTATAGATCCAGTGCTTGCCAAAGAATGGTAGATGGCACCATAATTCACAGAGTGCCAGACCTGAACCATGAAGACTGAATTAAAAGTTGACCTCAGATACTTACTTGTGTGACCCTGGACAAGTCACTTTGCCTCTGTTTGCCTCAGCTTCCTCAACTGTAAAATGGGGACAATAATAGGACTTAACCCCACCCCTCTTCCCAGGATTTTTGTGAGGGTCAAATGAGAAAACATTTGTAAAGTGCTTAGCACAAAGCCTGGTATGTAGTAGGTGCTTAATAAATGTTTCCTTTCTTCTTTCCTTCCTTATCTTTGTAGTAGTGCCAAATAAAAATCCTAGTCTAGGATATCAGTGGCCTACTGGGTCATGCTCATGGATCAAGCAGCCCTGTAGTAGACTCTAGCCTCTGATAGTGGTCATAGCAAAGACTTGACTTTCCTTTTTGTAGCATTTCAATTTAGGATTAGAAGTTAGGGTTAGGACTGGAGTTGGAGGCAGAGTCCCTAAGGTTCAGTTTACCATTCCTATGATTCTCCAAACTAAAACTCCCTTCCCAGTTCACATTACCCTACGTGTGGCATCTCTCCCTACTAGCATGTAAGTTCTTTCAGGACTATTCCCCTTTTGTAATTTTATCTCCAGTGCTTAGCATATAATAGGCATTTTAAAATTGTTTTCATCCATCCATCCATCCATCCATTCTTTCATCCATCCATCCATCCATCCATCCATCCATCCATCCATTTTTTCATCCATCCTTCTATCCATCCATCCATCCATCCATCCATCCATCCATCCATCCATTCTTTCATTCATGTAAATTCTTCCTCTTGGGAGGTAATTCTTACACTTGATCTAGCTTGGGCACAAAGTCCAGGAGCTCTTTCTCTTCATCTGTGTCCCTGGAATCTTGCTTCTCAGGTCTGGAGCCCACAAGTTCCTCCCCTGAAATGGACACAAATTTAAACTCAGGACAGGACAGAGGCAAGAAAACTTTTTTGGGGGGTTGGATGCTTGGTTGTTTTTGTCTTTTAAAGTGCTTTCCTCTGGTCTTCTTCCCAATACTTCCACCATAGAGAGAGGTAGAAGTTGGATCAGTGCTCAAAATGCCAGGACTTTTAGAAGAAATTAGAAACTGATTTGACTAGTTTATTTCCTGTAGCCGTGGGCTCACTAAGATCCTATGTGAAGGGACATACAAATCCCAATGCATCAGTAAGCTTGGCCAGGAAAAGGCAGACAGAAGATAGAAGGAATTCTCTTAGCCTGATGTACTTTGCTTCTTAGCAGCTCTTTTTGGGGACAGAATTTGAGATATCAGCACTCTCTGAGTTCATTCTTCCCAAAGCATGCATTAACAAGGGATAAATTGAATAATTGCTACAATAGAATTGAAACCCTTCATTTCAAAGCACACTAATGTGGTTTATATAAGACCCACAGTGCTATTATTTAAGTCTGGCTTGGACCCACTACAAAGAAGTGTCAAATATGATTGAATTGGCTGTCTACACGTCTAGTCACAATTGTCCTCATTCCCCCACCCCGGCTAGTTCTTGCTTAGGAGGCCATGACCTTGACCTTGTGGATGCCTTCCCCTGGTACCACAAAGTAGGTTTTCTGGCTTTGTGAATCTGGAGCTGACAGAATGAAAGAACAGCTCATGCACATAATACCACAAACACAGCAGCATGGGAACAAACACAGAGATGGGTGGGCAGGGACTCCCTGCCAAAGGGGATGGTTCTCATGATTATACAGTTCCTAATTTAATCAAGTTCCTTGCTCCTGGTCTGTTAGCCAGCCCAGAAAGCTGGAAAGCGGTGGTGGTGAGGGATGGGTTAGTGAGAGCTAGGGTTGCTTAGGGTGAAATGTACTCTGGTGACAAAGGACCACAGGGAACAGAAAGCGTTTCATACCCATTATAGTTACATGAGCAGTTCCTGGAAAGCAAAAAAGAGCCAAGTTTAAGGAAATACAGGATTCAAGTCAGTGTTACAGCAAGAGGCAGGTTATACAGCTCATATGTGTCACCCTACAAGCCAAAAGAAAGACACTAATTCACTTGATCGGCCAATTTCACCAATAGGGGTGGGAGAAGGTGAGGGCCATCTCCAAACTCAAGCTAGGCACGAGGACAGTGGCTTTTGGATATTTCACCATAAAGAAAGTGCCTGCAATTTCATCGACACATCAATTGTCCACAGGACAGCTTATTAAACAAAATCCTGAGTTCAAGCAATTTTTAAAAACCAGTTGAAGGTACATGGAAGGCACATGACTATTACATCAACAGTCAAGGATTTTTTATTTTGTCAGGGTATAAGAAATCAATCCACCCATATTGACTGTCCATAACCTAACCAATAAGCCTCAGAGAGTTGCCTAGGGCTCAGGAAAATTATATTACTTGCCCACAATCACATGGCCTATAATTATCAGAGGCAGAATTTGAACCCAGATTTTCCTGACTACAATTCCAACGCTATCCACTATGAGTGGAGAGAAGAACTCTGAGAGAGAAGGGATTCATCTATTGGGCAGGATATTGGATTAGGAAGCTACTAAGCAGTGATGTGCTGGTAAATGTTTAACAATTGGTTCTTGGTGGGGGAGAATGGTACACACAGTACACTTTTAAAATGTAATCTACATTATTAATGCCTTTCCCCATCACTTTCTTGAGTCTAGAAATCAACAGAACAGTAAATCAAGCCCCAATTTGTAGCATTTACTGATTTCTGAGATGGAAATGCTCACCCTGAAATTTAACCATCTGCTCTCAGGAACTGATGATTCAAACCAGCTCCAACACATTCCTGCCCCTAAGGGTCATTCTGATTCTAGAATTCTTGTGATTATAAATTGTCTCTGTGTGTGTGTGTGTGCGTGTGTGTGTGTCCGTGCACGTGCATGTACACGTGCTTGGGGAGGTAGTGGTAGATTTTAATAAGAGCAGCAGTAAAAGTGGGGGGAAAAGAGCTTTAGAATCTCCATTCAGATTCCCAGAAGTGGGAGTGTTGGAATACCCTTGAGAAGAGTAGGATAAGTATTCCTGTCCCTCTTCCTTATCCTGAATTAGCGACCCCAGCCCTTACCTTCATCTTCAGAGACATCCAGAATCTCATCCACTGTCTCTGGGAAGCTCATTCGGTGCTTGTCGCTGACTAACTGAAAGACAGAACCGCGGACTTGACTTCAGGACTCTTTAGAGACCCAACTGCTGCCAATAATAGGAGGCTAACAAATCTCTATACTTATGGTATTTCCTCATGAAACTAGGTAGAGTGAATTTCATTACCCCTCTCTTACATATGTGGAAACTGAGGCTCAGAGAACTTAACTGACTTGCTCAAGATCACCCTAGTAAGTGGCGAGACTTGAACACACATTCTTTGACGCTAAATTCAACGCCTTCCTCAATATGCTTCCACACAGCGACTTAGGACCAGGCTGCGGGAAGAAGGAGCAGAGAGATTACTCAATTATCAAAGTTGGAGCCAGCTGTTCCAGACAGCAAAACTAACCTCAAGAAAGGTCTGATTATTATCAGAATAACAAAACAGAAAACACCAGCTCCTATTCTCTCTCTCTTCTTCCTACACATCTTCATTTTAATACCCCGAAAGCCAGTCGCTTTGTGGCTTCCCAGTGACACTAGATGGCAGTAAGACCCTGTGTGGGGAAGTGAGAGAAACCCTTGCGTGTTATCAATATACTGGTCTGTTGCAAGTGCTGCAAAGGCCCTGATCCCTGCTCACAAATGAACCAGACCACTCCCATCAGTCCGTGGGTTAAGATTCCTGCAAATCATGGAATGCAAGTAGGGAGAAGCAGCTGAAGTATTACCCCAAGGTGCTGTATTTAGAAGGAAGCCTCATACCTGAGTTCTAGGATCTTTGTCTCCTGCCTGCCCCCACTCCCTCCAAGGTGATAACCTACTCCTCCCTTCCCTGTGCCCTGCAGAACTGATGGTGTGTTTAATGCTGCTTGCCCTAGGTGCAGTCTGTGGGACTCACCCTGAGTGCAAAGATTCCTACTGATGTCTCTGGGGTGACCTACAGAGAGAATTGTACTTACCACAACACCGGTTTCATCAGTCACCATTTTCAGTACATCGGTTACAGAAATGTAGCCAAGGCGTTTGGCAATGGCCAAAGGAGTGGTTCCATGCTGATGAAGGAAGAAAAGAAGGTGGAATTAAGTGGGGAGGAAGAGACAGGGCAGGGAGAAAACTAACCCCATTTCCATTGGGACCCATCTTTTTGTGTGCTTTCTTCACTGGGTCTGCATAGATTGAATCTGACTGCCATGAAAGCAAAAATCAGTGCAAATGTGGGAGCATATATAAGTTATATGAAACTTGTATTGGAAAAAGGGTGTGTTTTCCATTTCCATTTGTTTTCCATTTCCAGGCACTTCAGCCATTAGCACCTATCTCACAGGACTGTTATGAGGCTCAGATGAGATGATATTTGTAAAGTGCTCAGCACAGTGCCTGGCACATAGTAGGAGACGTACTTAAAAAACCAAGCACTTCTTACTCTGCTCTCCTCCATGTACTCTATTGTCTAAAGACACAAGCCTCCATGCTATTCATTGCAAAAGACACTCCTTCTCCCACCTCTGGCTCTCCTTTGTGCCTAGTATGCTTTCCCTTCTTACCTCTGTCTCTTGGCTTCCTTTGAGACTCAGCTCATATTCTTCTGCAAGAAACCTTTCTCTCTCCTCCTTAACACTAGTGCCTTCCCTCTTGATTTCTAGTTAATTCTGTATATGTCTTGTTTGTACATAGCTGCTTGCATACTGTCTCCCCATGAGAAGATTAAGATTGATTCTGTATCATTTTCTTATTGATCCTGTTTATCGACAGGTAGCATACCCCTGCTAATAAATGTTATCTTGCTTGGAGATCTGCCTCAGTTTACCCTTTTTGTATCACAACACTCATTAGAATGGGGGATCCTTGAGGGTAGAGACCATTTTTGCAACCTCTTAGTACAGCTCCTGGCCCATACTAAGTGCTTAATAAATATTTGTTGACTTGAATTTTTGACTAAGAAGCAAGAAATTCCTATATGTGATTTTTAAAGTCACAAAGATCCAAGAATCTGTCTATATGTTGTGCCTCCATCACTATGTATCAAAACATGATGAAACTTCAACCTACTGGAATAAAGCCTTCAAATAATCAGAATCAAGAAAAAGACATCCTCCGCATTCTACTTTTATGGGAAAGTGCCAAAGGATATTTTGAATGTTCAGTTCTAAGCTTCACATTTTAGGAAAGACATTGACAAGCTCTAGTCCATCCAGACAAGGATGACCAGAATGAGGACAATATAAAGATCGGTTGAAGGATCATGGGCTGTTTGATGTAGAGAAGAGAAGGCTTAGGGTGATTTGAGAGCTGCTTTTAATCATCTGAGGAGTTGTCATGTGAAGAGGGATTAGCCTTATCCTACTTGGCTTGAGAAGGAAGAATGATGAACAGAAGTCAGTCAATTAACATTTATTAAGCGCCTCCTATGTTCCAGGAATGGTGCTCAGCATTGTTGATACAAAGAGAGGCAAAAGATAGTCCCTGCCCTCGATCTGATAGGGGAGAAGTTGAAGGGAGGCTGAATTTGGCTCAATACAAGGAAAATCTTCCTAACAATTAAATGCTATTCAACAATGGAATGGGCTGCTTTGAGAAACAGTGAGTTCTCTATCACATAACATCTTCAAGGATTTTTTTTTTTATTTAGGTAGGTGTCTTAGGAACAAAATCTGCTACACACATGCTGGCCTGGTTTGTCCTTAAAAAAAGGTATTGGAAGCATCCTTGGGAAGTTATTGGTTCAGGGGACCAAGTCTCAAACCATTGATAGAGCTCCTAGTGGCCTAAATACAAAAGCCAGTTCTAGAGAAGGGGTCCTTGCTCAACCTTGACACATGCATATGACTGGTGCCCCAACACGGAGCTGGGGAAGCTGTGCCTAACTGAATTGATGCTGAATCCTTGCTGAATATCATTTCCATGCCATGGCTAAGTTTTGTTAATTGTCATTTTGTTCTACTCACAAACTGAAACAACCAGGCCAGTCTGAATCAGGCCTGGTCTACAACATAGAATAACGGGACTGGATAAGTTCTGAGGTCCTTCAGCAAGAAAACATATGGGCGGGAGGAAGTTATTAAGAAAAAAACGAATCAATATACATGGTATGTCCTAGAATCATTATGTGGTAGTTTCTATCTCATCTCTTAAACCTTCCATAGATACATCTCCAGAACTTGGTGAAGATGACTGATTCATAGTGATTCGATTCATTTTAACATTGAGGTTAATTAAATAAGACCCTGTTTCAGGCCCCATAGGGGATATAAAATAGCTACAATACAATGTCTGCTCTTAACGAGCTTAAACCCCCTACTTTTGGTTGCCTCAGGGAGCTACACTGGTGTGAAGACAGCTGCAACCCAGGTTATCACCTGTACTCATTAGGAAGGGCTGAGGGCAAGGACCATAGAACTAGGTATGCCAAATCTGAGGAAGGCTTCATCACAGCTGCTCTACTAATCACCCCTTGCTCTTCCTAAAGCCTAAATGGCCTAAAGCCCCATGTACCACCGGTCCTGGTAATAAACCGAGTTATAACTTTCCTTTGCTAAAAATTGTCCCAGACAGGCCCATATTCTTTTCTTAGACCTTTCTTTGGATGAGTTAGAAAGTGCTATAATGGGGCAGCTAGGTGGCGCAGTGGATAGAGTACCGGCCCTGAGGTCAGGAGCACCAGAGTTCAAATCCAGCCTCAGACCAAACACTTGACACTTACTAGCTGTGTGACCCTGGGCAAGTCACTTAATCCCAATTGCCTTAAAAAAAAAAGTGCCGTAATGAATGGCCTATTGCTTTCTGTCTAACTCTTATGCAAAATTCCTGAGTTCATAACTGCTGCTAAGGATGGGGCCACCATTATAGCCCTAATTTTTCTGAATATTCCAGTTTACTAAGGTTTTAGGGTAGTAAAGCTATCTGATTTGTAAGTACAGATTGTAAGGATGTTCAAGTCAGAGAGTTACAATTAAAGTCAATGTATGCCAGCTGAAAGAACCTCAGTGGTGGAAAGAATCCTGATGAAGTTGTCCCTGGCCGGCAGCCATCTAAGTAAGAAGACGGCCATGCCACTCACCGAGCTGACTTCATTGGGGGAAGCACCATTCTTCAGCAGCAGGGTCACGATATCCGTATGTCCTTGCTGAGCCCCCTGGTGCAAAGGAGTGTATCCTAGCTGCAATGGAAGGAGGGATTTTGTTAGGATGTGCAATTTCTGGAGAAGGGAGCACCTCCAGTCCTGGGGAGACTGTGCTCATTCAGTATTCTGGTGGAACAGCCAAAAAATTGCAAATGTTTATAGAAACATTATAAGTGGAAAAAACTTCCTTCCAGGTTATTTTTGCATCCCAACCTTGCTTTTCAATCTTCACCAGTAGGAGTAAAGCCACACATGCTCAGAATTTCTTCACAACCTTGCATTTAGCATGGGATAATACAAGAACTGAATCTAAGACGTCTCAATTTAGTTCAAAAAACATTTATTAAGAGTGCCTCCTATGTGCAGAGTACTGTGTTGGGCACTGGGATAGTTTCTATCCTTAATGAGTTTATGATCCCCTTGGAGAAGAAGTGACGTGTACATAGATGTGTGTGATTCGGGGTAGGGACTGATGGGGGGCAAAGGAGAGAAACAGCAAAGTGCTTTAGAAAAATTTGAGGAAGGAGAAAACATTTTTAGCTGGGGGAGAGAGAGAGAGGATTGGGGATGACTTCACAGAGGAGGAGAAACCTGAGCTAAGCCTTGAAGGAAGAGGTAGAAAAGATGAAGGAGTATTTTCCAGGCATGGATAATGGCCTATGCAAATATGGAGAGGAAGAAAATAATGTATTGAGTACAGGTAACTGCTAGTAGCTTAATTTGGCTAGAATGTGGAGTTTGTAAAGAGGAGTAATGGGAAATAAGGTTGAAAAGGTAGAGTGGAGTCAGCTTGTGTAGAGTGCTGTAAGTAAGGGGGTCATATTTTATCCTAGAGGCAAGAAGGAGCCATTAAAAGATTTTGGATGAGAAAGTGACAAGGGCAGAATGTGCTGTAGGAAGATTATTTTTGTTGCTGTGTGAAGAGTGGATTAGAGGCAGGAGAGATGAAACAGGAAAAATAATTAGGAAATCTAGGATGATGACTGAGTGAATGGAGAGGAGAGTGGATAGGAGATATTTTGTGGAGGTGAGAACTTGTCAGTTTTAGGGGATGGGAAATGAAGAAAGAAGAGCCAAGGATGATTGTGAGGTTTTGAGTCTAAAGAACTGGGAAGAATGTGGGTTCTGGATGGCAGCGGGGTTATGGGGGAAAGGATGGATACAATTTTGCATATGTTCAGTTGGAAATGCCTTTGGGACATGAAGCTGGAGATGTGGGACTGGAGGTTAGGAGTGAAATAAGGGCTAGATGTACACATTTGGAAGTCATCTCTGTAGGGGTGGTAACTGAACCCATAAGAGTGTCTGAATTCCCCAAGAAAGATACTCTCTCGTACCTTGGTCTTTGCATTAACATCTGCCTGGTGTTGTAGCAGGAACTTCACCAGCTTGATATTTCCATAATGGCTGGCCACATGTAATGGGGTATAGCCCATCTGAGGGAAAAAAAGGTAAAGATGAATTAATTCAATTCAATTCAATGAACATTTTTTGAGCCCCTACAAGGTCCGAGGTGCCGTGATAGGCGTTAGGGATACTCTTTCTTAAAAGAAAGAGAATCATTTCTTCTAAGCATGCTACTCATTGCTCATGATATAATGGAAAGACCCCTGTGCTGGGACTCAGGGGACTCATGCTTACTAGCTGTGAGTCTGTGAGTAAATAATTTCACCTCCCCAAACCTCAGTATTCTCATCTGTAAAATGGAGATGATGATACTTACACCTCCTACTTCACAGGGTAGTTGTGAGAATCAGATGAGAAACGTGAACAGGTACTCTTAGCCCTAATGAGTGTTTTCAGGGGACTACAGGGGATTGTTCGGCTTCCTGTCCTTTTCATTGTGGCAGCCATCACAGCTTTAAGGGTTTAATGTTAAAAGTGTAAGATAAAGTATGGTACAACAGAGGGTCTATAGAAATACTAGAGAGAGACAAGAAGGCCTGAGTTCTTATCCTGCCCCTATTATGAGCTGTGTGACCATGGGTAAGTCATAATTTCTTCGAGGTGGAGTTAACTGTAAATGTTAGGCAGCAAGGTTGAAGAGTGGGCATGAATGCTGGACCTGGAATCAGGGAGACCTGAGTTCAAGTCCCACCTCAGACACCTACTAGCTGTGTGACTCTGGGCAAAAGTCATTTAACTTTTCTCAGTCTCAGTTTCCTCATCTGTAGAATGGGAATAATAATAGCACCTAAAATCGCTGTGAGGGTCAAAAAAGATAACTGTATGGTCCACTCTTTGCAAACTTTAAGGCATCATGTAAGTGGTGTTATTATTATTAAATCACAGGTATCATTATTATTATTAAATCATAGATGCGTTCTGAGCTATGCAGTGATGCATTTTGGCATGCTAATATTATATAATAGATTTCAAACTCATGCGATGTTGTATAGTGGGAAAGGCACTGGTCTGGGACTCAGAAAAATGGGTCAAGTCCCCGTTCCAATAACTGCTGCGTTTCCTTGGGCAAGTGACTTAATCATTCTAAGCCTCAGTCCTCATCTGCAAAATGGAGATAATCGCATTTGTAGCAATGACCCCCAGAGGGCTGTTGTGAGGAAAACACTGATAAAAGTTTAAAGTGGAATTATGGGAATTCAGGCTGTTATCATCAGTTCACTTAACACATTCTTTAGAGATGCTTGGAGTCCTGACCCTGCAAAAATAATCCAAAATGAAAAGAAAAATGAAGCATGTTTGACTTTTCAACATATCTCAACCCTTGCCACTTTCTCCAGAAGACACTGTTTGCACTGAGGGATTTCAAAGTTCTATAGAAGAGGCTACCATAGTGTTACAATAGTAGATCAAAGGGAAGCCACATGAGGGAAGAGCATCAGTGTGTGCACGTGTGCATGTGTGCATGTGTGCATGTGTGCGTGTGTGCGTGTGTGTGTGTGTGTGTGCGTGTGTGTGTGTTGGGGGGTGGGGGGGAAGGGAGCAGGGAAGAAGAACACCATAGACGAAATTCATCAACTAAAACAGGTTCGTTGTTTTACCCGGGTGGTGGCATCCACTGTGACCCCCTGTTTGATGAGCACATCTGCTACTGCCACATGACCCTCTTGAGCCACCAGATGGAGAGGAGTGAGGCCACTCTGAAAAGAAAAACAGTAGCAATATTTCATCACCAGTGAGACCAACTTAAGTACCAGAGACCCATCCATTGAGCTTACTGTGTGTCTCAGATCTCTAGTTCAGTCTGCCATAGTAGAAAGAATGATTCACAATACTATTTATCTAGAGCTTTTAACATTTGCAAAGCACTTTTACATAAGCAGTCATTTTACATTGTCATTTACATTACATTTTACATTTACAAATCACCCCCATTTTACAGATGGGGAAATTGAGGCAGACAGCAATTAAGTGACTTGCCAGTAAGTGTCTGGGGCTGGATTAATAATCATAATACTATTAATAATAAAAATAACAAAAACAACAATAACTAACATTTATATAGTACTTAATCTGTGCCACGCACTTTACAATTATCATCTCATTTGATCCTCACAATGGCCCTGGGAGATAAGTGCCATTATTATCCCCACTTTACAGATGAGGAAATTGAGGCAGATGAGATTAAGTGACTTAGCTAGTAAGTGTCTGAGGCTGGATTAATAATAATACTAGTTAATATTTATTTAGGACCCACTATGTGCCAGGCACTGTGCTAAGTGCTTTACAATTATCTCATCTGAGCCTCACAACACACCTGGGAAGCAGGTGCTTTATTTTGCAGTTGAGGAAACTGAGGCAAACAGAGATTTAAATGACTTGCCCAGGTTCACACAGCTTGTAAGTGTCTGAGGTGGGACTGGAACTCAGGTCTTTCTGATGCCAGGTCCAGCGCTGTATCCACTAAGCCACCTAGAGGTCTACTATTACTAGTGGAGAGAGAGATCAGGGTCTTAATGAATGACCTTCAGATAGTTATTTCACTTTTCTAGAGCTCAGTTTTCTCACTTGGAAAATGGGGGAAAGAGTATCTACTCTGAATTCTTCACAGGTTATTTTTGAGGATAAAATAACACCATAAATGTGAAAGTACTTTGAAAAATATGACTGCTACAGAAATGTTAGGTAGATGCCTAGGTGGCACATAGTGCACAGAGCCAACCACAAACACTTACTAGCTGTGTGACACCAGAAAAATCGTGTAACCTCTGTCTGCCTCAGTTTCCCATCTGTAAAATGGGGATATAATAGCATCTACCTCCTAAGGTTGTTGTGAGGACCAAATGAGATAATATTTATAAAGTGTCTTGCAAATCTCAAGGCACTACATATATGCTATCATTATTATCTGCTAGAATTAATACTTTTTTAGAATGTGAAATCTATATAGCGAGGAAAAAGTAGAGACTTTACAGTCAAATGAACATCTCCTCCCCAAACCATGAAGCTCTTGTTCTATCTTTTGAACCACTTCATTGCATAGCCTAGAATCAGAGATTTAACTAGGAAGGATGAAGATCAATAGTCTGGACAGAAAGAAGTAAGAGTTGGGGTATTCTGAAAATGGGACACAAGCTAAGCATGGTGGTGGAACATAATCATGATGGGGGACATCAATTATCCAAATGTCTGCTGGAATTCTTTCTCTAAAGCAAAGGAGCTAATAAGTTCTTCATTTGCTTTAATTATATTTTTCTTCCTTTAAAAGATGGAAGAACCAATGAGCAGAGCTAGTTCCTAGACTACATTGTCCTCAACAAGGAGGAATTGATTGTTGAAATACACATCATTGGCCCCTTGTGAGGAAGCCATTACTAGATCTTAGAATTTGTAATAGTAGAGGAAAGCTAGGTATAATACTCTGACGTGCACTCTGGATTTTTAGAGCAGATTTCAGTGGATTCACAGAAAGGATAAGGTAGGTTCCCATGAACTAAAATACTGCAAACAAAGTCAGCCCAGTTGATGTGGGCAGCTCTTAAGAATGAAACCCTGATGGCACAAAGAGAAAACACTGATGAGGAGGAAAAGGAGGAGCTGTCTGAAGAATCTGATGTGGATGCTGACTTCTTCTCTGTTCCTTACTCGTGGTACTCCATTCCAGTCTCCATACCTTTCCAAGGGCAGTTTGCTGGAATGCAGTCCTTCCTCACTGGTACTTCATAGAATCCCTAACTTCCTTCAAGATGAAGGTCAAGCATCATCTTTTATACAATGCCTTTCCTGATGTGACCAATTGCTACTATTCTCCCTCACTAACTTATATTTAACCAGTTTACATTTATTTTTGTATTTATCCTCACATACGGATTCTGCATATACTTACACATGTACATAGAAGCATAGATTTACAGCTGGAAAGATCACCTTAGAGACCATCTAGTCTAAGTCCTGCATACCAATAAAACTACAGGTCTAGTCCAAAGGAGAAGAAGGAGAAGGAGGGGAAGGAGAAGAAGGAGGGGAAGATGAAGAACAAGAAGGAGGAGGAGGAAGATGAGGAGAAGGAGGGAAAGAAGAGAGGGAAGAAGGAGAAGGAGGAGGAGGAGGAGGAGAAGAAGAAGAAGAAGAAGATGATGATGATGATGATGATGATGATCTAGGTTCAAATTCCATCTGGCCTACTCACTACCTGTATAAGCCTCAGTTTCCTCCCTTGTAAGATGAGGTGATTAGATCATCTCTAGGCTCTCTTCCTCTGCTGAATCCTATGATCCTTCCATCATATAAGCTAAGGAAGAATATTTCCTTCAAGTTCAAAGGATTTGACCAAAGTGGATGTTGTATATGAATGCAGAGTTTATCAGAGCAATACCACTAATCTGCCTCCAGGGGCTATTGTAGGGGTTAGTTAATGTTTTACAGTAGCTGAGGGCTGCCATCATCATTATTAACTCTCGGGCTAAACTGCCACAAAATAACCCAACAGGTAGGAAACCAGACACCAACGCAAATGCAGCAGTCACAGGGCTCCTGTTACATCCAATAAGCCTAATGCGCCGACTCCCTTATTACTGTCAGTGGTTCTGTTCTTTCCCAGAAAAAGAGCTTTTCAGCCCATGGCAACAAAAGTCAATGGGACTCTTGTGATTAGGAAGTCTAAATGACCCTTAAATTTTGTTCCCTTCTTTGACTTTCCAAAGACTGTACACAGAAATGCCATATCATCACAGCCTCCTCTAGACCACTGGTTTCCCGTTCAGGAAATGAGTATTTAGCGTTGTATGACTTGAGGTAATTGGTAGTCTGTAACCTCATGCTCAGAATTCAGGCAACTATGGTATAGAACAGATGATGAGGTCTACTTCTCTAGCAGTCTCTTTGGCTAACCTGGTTACCAGCCCCAACCCCCGGCACTGCAGGGCAGTACCCAACGATGCTAGGAACGCCAGAAGTTACCTTGTTTCCAAGGTTGCCATTAGCTTGTTTTGAGAGTAGCAGAGCTACCATTTCTGCATGACCCTCTTGGGCTGCAAGGTGAAGGGGTGTCACACCTTGTACTGACTCGGCATTTGCGGACCCCCCATATTGTAGCAGGTTGCTGGCAAGCTCCATCTGGTTCTGTTTGGCAGCGATGTGTAGAGGGGTGTAGCCATTCTGGAAAAGGAAAGAGACCCAGATAAGTCTACTACAAGGCCAGTGATGGAAAATCCACAGTGGCACCATAAATGGCAAATCTTCTAAAGAGATTATCCCTAACGGCCAAGTTACTATTATTTATCGTAGTACAGTGGCATAGAAAATTCTGGATTTGGAATCAAAGCATGTCAATTTGAATCCTGCTGCTGTGGTCTTGGGCAAGTCACTTAAATCCAGTCAATCATCCAACAAGCACCTATTAATCACTTACTATGTACAAGGCATCATGCTAAGTACAGGGAATACAAGGACAAAATGAAAAAGAGCTCTTGCCCTGGGAGAGTATTTATCCTACTGGGGGATACAGCATTTACCCAGATGAGCAAATTCAAGATAATCTGAGGATGGAGAGAGTAGCAGTGACTAGGTTATGGATTCTTACCCTGGGTTCATGAATGTTTTAAAAAATAACTGATAGTCTTTCAATATAATTAATATCCTTTGTATTTTATTTTATGCATGAAAAAAACTATTTGAGAAGTGGTCTATAAGATTTGCCAGAGTCATTGCCAAAAAGTTTTAAATACCTCTCTCCCCACCCCCCCCAAAAAAGGCTAAAATTTACTTTAAAATAGAGTAGTCCAGAAAACCCTGAGGGTCCCCCAGACCCTGTTAGGACTCCCAACATGAATATTTTTCATAACAATACTAACACTTTGCCTATTAAAACACTTCCCTTTTCCAACTGCATATCTATGTGAGGCTGGATTTTCTTCATATACTTCAACCAAAACAGACTGAATTCAGAAGCAGATAGGAGAGTCTAGCTGGCTTTTTTTTAAGACAGATATTAAAGAAATTTGTACAAATATGTAAAACAATACAATTCTCAGTAAATTTGTTTTGTTTTGGAAAATATCGTTATTTTTCATAAAAATGTTATTTTATACTAACCTGTAATTGATTTATTGTTGTTATTTTTAAATAAATTAATAAACATAAAAATTGTTAGTTTCAATTTCTAATATAGTAAATTTCAATCAACAAATAAACATTTATTAAGCTCCTACTATGTGCCTTCTCCACCGGAAAAGGAAATGGCAAACCACTCCAGTATCCTTGCCGAGAAAACCCCATGTGCAGTATGGTCCATGGGGTCATGAAGAGTCAGAAACAACGAACAACAAATGTGCCAGATACTGTGCTAAGTGCTAAGAATACGAATAGACGCAAAAGACAGCCCTTGCCCTCAAGGAGCTTACAATCTAATGGACAATATATATAACTCACATAAACAAAAGGTCTTTGAAGTCCTCAATAATTCCTGAGACCAAAAAGTTTAAGAACTGCTGGACTGGAAGGATCAAGAAAGGTTTTATGTAGGAGCAGCTAGGTGGCACAGTGAATAGAACTCTGGCCTTGGAGTCAGGAGGACCTGAGTTCAAATCCAGCCTCAGACACTTAACACTTACAGCTGTGTGCCATTGGGCAAGTCACTTAACCCTGATCGCCTCACCAAAAAAAAAAAAAAAAAAAAAGAAGAAGGAAACTTTAATTCCCTACCTACGTCAGTAAAACAAGTGGACTGGATTACATGACCTGAGTGTGGGTGACCTCTAGGGCTGTGTCATCCTAGGTCCTCTCCTTTTTTTTTGTATTTACTCCTTTAATGATTTCATCTACTCTTATAGATTCAATTAGCAACCATACACAGATAAATCCCAAACCTGTAGCTCTAGCCCTAATCTCTTCCCAGATTCTCATCACCACGGCATCATAGATATAAAACTAAAGAGGAGCAAAGATGGCAGGCTTTGGTCAGTCATCTAGCCCAACTTCATTGTTTTATAGTTGAGAAAAATGAGGCCGTTGCTGTTTAAGTGACTCACTGATGGTCACGTGGAAGTAAACATCAGAGAAGGATTTGAATACAAGTCCTCTGATTGCAAAGTCAGCTCTCTTTTCAGTATTGTTGCTGCTGCTGTTCAGTCATGTTCAACTCTTTGTGACCCCATTTGGAGTTTTCTTGGCAAAGATACTGGAGTGGTTTGCCATTTCCTTCTCCAGCTCATTTTACAGAGAAACTGGGGCAAAGAGGGTAAAGTGACTTGCTCAGGGTCACACAGCTAGTAATTGTGTGAGGCTCGATTTGAACCCAGGAAGAGGAATCTTCCTGACTTCAGACTTAGCACTTTAACCACTGCACCACCTAGCTGCCCCATGTTTTTGCCTGTAAATGCTCACAATGAAAAATTAGCAATCAGTTCTCATGAGCTGGTTTGAGGTGGCTGTAGGACACCCCTGGTAAATGTTTGCAAAGAGTTTTACATTCATTATCTTATTTGAAAATAGCACTGGAGACCATGAGACTTTAAGAAACCTGCAAGACTTTCCATTGAAAAGCAAATGAAGGGGACAAAGACAAGGATGGATGGCTAACAGTCAGTCAGCAAGCATTTATTGTTGTTGTTGTTTTTGTTGTTGTTATTGTTGTTGTTCAGTTGAGCAGACTCTTTGTGATCCCATTTGGGGTTTTCTTGGGAAAAATGCTGGAGTGGTTTGCCATTTCCTTCTCTAGCTTATTTTACAGATGAAGAACTGAAGCAAACAGTGTTCAGTGACTTGCCCAGGGTCACACAGTTAGCATGTGTTTGAGGCTACATTAGAACTCACAAAGTTGAGTCTTCCTAATTCCAGGCCAGGCACTCTATCCAACGGGCCACCTAGTTGCCCTAAGCATTTATTAAGCACCTACTATGTACCTGGCACTGTACTAATCACTGCTTCTCAACTTTTTTTTAATTTTTAATTTTTAAAAATTTATTTATTTATTTTTAGTTTCACTCAGCTATTTTTTACACACATATTCACTTCTTCCTCTGGAAAAAAAATGCCTCTAAAGGAATGCCCAGGAGAAAAATCCACAGACATTTTAATCAACATTAACATTGGATTTGTAAGTTGTTGGGGGTTTTTAAAAGCAATTTTGTGGTGCATACAGAGTTGCATGTGAAATTCTACAAAATTGTCAGACGTGATTTTGTAAAGTTTTTTTTTTTTTTTTTTTACCATGGAAACAAAAATCCATCTGTGTAGCATTTGTACTTTGATTCAGTGCTCTTTAAATATCATGAAACTGGCTCCCATTTATTTTATGGAAGTGGGAGGGGAAGGGGCCCACTTTTTTTTATTTTTGGAGACAAGAGTAAGTCAGCTGCGAGGGGCTAAATGTTACAAATGGCAAGGTTGGGTCTATGGCTAGAAGCAGCAGCTGGGGCAGGGATCCAGAGAGATAAAGGGACTTGGAGGTGGAACTTTGGGACTGACTGATAGGTATTGGAATAAAAAACAAAAACCAAGTAGCACATCCGTGTCAAGGGGCAAGAATGGAGGGCTGAGGATGAATTCGGATGAGCTGACTGCATCTACTTTGGAGACCGCCTGGTGTTAGCGGGGTGCGCGTGCTGGCCAACAGATTGCTCATTTCTCTGACGCAGTCAAGTCTGCACTCCAAGATCTAGCATTAGACCCTCTACTATTGTATGTTGTTCCAAGAGTATTTCCTGTGGCATCTCATCTCCTGAACTAACTGGAAACTCTCTGAGATCACAAATTCACAGGATTGGATTTTAGAGCCGGAAGGTGCCATCTAGTCTAATCTGAATCTGAAGAGTAGCATTCACCCATCTCCTTGATAAGTGTCAGGGTGGTGGAGTGGAAAGAGCACTGGACTTGGAATCCAAAGACTTGGATTTGAATCTTGGACCGTGGTCAAGTCACTTACCCTCTTCACTTCTACAATAATAAGTGTGCCATCTACCTCATAGAGCTGTTGTGACTTTGCACACCTTAAAGTGCTATAAAATATAAATTATGGCTAAATGGTTATCCAATCTCTGCTTGAGTACCTCCAGTGATGAGGAGCTCACTCCAAAGAATGAAATAATACCTACTTGCCATGAAACCAATCTATTTCATCATTGATAGCTCTCATTGCTTTGAAATTTTATTGGTATCATTTGGTTTTTTTGTCATATTTATTTCCTAATATATCCCTCTCCTAAGCCTAGCCAGTGAATTGTACCCAGTTACAAAACAAAACAAAATAAAACAAAACCAACCAACACATAAATCGAGTCTGACAGTGTAGTCAATGCTTCACAAGCACAGTCTCCCACATCTGCAAAGAAGGGAGGGAGGTGCCTTTTCTTATCTCTTCTTCAGGGACAAGCTTGATCATTATAATTACACAAACAGCTCTTATTATTGAGAAGTTCTAATCATGTTCAACTGAGATTTTTCTCCCTGCTAATTTCAACCCATCAGTTTTCTGGGACCAAGCAGAACCAATCTATTCATTCTTTTATATGACAACCCTTTAAATATTTGAAGACAGTTATCTTATTTTCCCCACATCTTCCCTTTTTCAGCTCATATCTAGCCCTTCCCAGCTCTTTCATGTAGGGCATGTTTTCCAATTCCTTTTCCATCCTGATCATCCTCCTCTAGACATGGTTTTACACATCAATATCCTTCCTAGAATGTGATGTTGAGAGCTAAACGCAATATTCTGACAACAGGCATTTATTAGATGTGGTCCAGATGAGGTCTGACTAAATGGAGTTTGGCATACCAACTGTTGCCATCCCCTCTGGACATTAATACTTCTATTGATGCAACCCAAGATGATAGCTCTTAACTGATGATCAGGGACCAGCCCAGGTTTCATCCTCCTCTAAGGTCTTTCCCGGGTTAAGATCTATGATCCTAAGTTCTTACGAAAGTCCCATTTCTGTTTACTTTAATTTGAACAAAAGCACCAGTTTGAAGAAACAAAAGGAACTAGTGGAGAAAAGTTAAGTGTACCCTATTATTTCATTGGGTCATAGAGTCTCTGAGCTGGAAGGAATCTCAGAAGTCATGTAGTCAGACTTCTGTCTGAAGCAGGAACACCCTCTAAAATATTCTCCACAATATTTTACATGATTGCCCATGTACAACCTCTATCGGATTGTTTACTGTCTCAGGGAGGGAAAGAAAGGAGGGATAGAATTTAGACCTCAAAACTTTAAAAAAATGTTTAAAAATTGTTTTAACATGTAACTAGGGACAAAAGTAAAATTATATATATATAAACTATCCTTCACAAAGGATCGAGGTCCTCTGCTTGAGGACCTACATCAATGAGAAGTTCACTACCTCCTGATAATAACCTCTTCCATTCTTATTTGACTCTTATTGTTAGGAAGACTTCCTTTATAGCAAGCCAAAACTTGACTCTGCAGTGTCCACCCAAGTCTCCTAGTTTGGCCCTTTATGGCCAAGCAGAGCAAAATAGCCTTTCCAATTCTTTTCTACCTACTTTTTTTTTTTTTGTGGTTTGGCAATTGGGGTTAAGTAACTTGCCCAGTTAATGAGTCTTAGGTGTCTGAGGCTGGATTTGAACTCAAGTCCTCCTGACTCTAGGGCCGATACTCTATCCACTGTGCCACCTAGCTGCCCCCTGCCTTTCAAATTCTTAAAGACAGCTATCGAATCTTCCCAAGTCCTTACTTTCTTTAGACTGACTAAGCTAAGTTCCTTCAACTAGTCCTTGTGTGGTATGGTCTCAAGACCCCTCAGCCTGCCTGAGGGACATAAAAATTAAGGGACTTGTCCAGAGTAACACAGCTAGCATGTGTCAAAGGTACAGGTCTTCCTGACCCCAAACTCTACATTCTCTCTACTACTCCAGACTTTCCCCACAGTTGAGTGTGGGTTATATAAGTAAAATGCATATGGTGCATAAGATATATAAGCTCATCTCATTTTAAGGAAAATAAACAATAAACCAAATTCATAGTGGCAGCATGGAATAGTGGGCAGTGAGCCAGCCTTGAAGCTGGGAAGCTAGGGGCTCAAGACCCATCCCTGAGATAACACTGGCTGTATAACCTTAGGCAAGTTACTTCACCTGTCAGGACTCTAGCCAATTCTCTAAGACAATTAGTTATAAAGAAAGTGCCAACCTGAATTGGTAGATGAAGTTTTCTCACTTAAGAGTTCCCTATGCCAATAAAGGGCAGCTAGGTGGCACAGTGGATAGAATGCCAGATCTAGAATAAGGAAAACTCACCTTCTTGAGTTCAAATCTAGCTGTGAGTCCTTGGGCAAGTTACTTAATTCTGTTTGCCTCAGTTTCCATAACTCTAAAACGAACTGAAGAAGGAAGTGGCAAACCACTCCAGTGTTTTTACCAAGAAAACCCCATATGGGGTCACAAAGAGCCGGACACAGCTGAAACAACTGAACAACAACAACAATACCAATGAAATCACAGGTTTAGTTTCTATTCTTGTCAAATAGACAAATTTTGGGGGTGATCATTCCTATGATATATATATATATATAATATACATACATGGTGTGTGTGTATGTATAAACATGTGCACACACATTATAAATATATATGAATCCTTCACTTTACAATGGATTAATTGTAGGAGTCCAAGTGCCTTTAACTAACAAGCTCATTCAGTTCATTTAAGACATAATTCAATTTGCAAATGATGTTTTAAAGGAACACATTTGTTGTAGAAACTGAGTTCTATTTGTATGGTATGTGGAGATCTGTGGTTGAAAAAGATCTATTTTTCTACTCATTCATAGTCGAAGAGCAACATTAACCACACTGAGGATTTTTAAATCCTGAAATTAAGAAGACACGTAGGGCCCCCCAACCTTCCAACTGCTGCCTAAATCTCCCTCCCTCAATAATCCTGGCCGACATCCAGCCCCCGGCAGTCAGGATGGAGGTGCTGCCAGGCATGGAGGGGCCTTACCCAAGCAGGGCTGTGTGGAGAGCCGCCTCGAGGGAGGAGAAGTTTCACAATCTCCAGGTTATTGTGATGGACAGCCACATGGAGAGGGGTGAGGCCATTCTGCAGAGAAAGAGAGAGGAAAAAAAGTCACCCCATCCAGGTTGAATACTAGTTCATTTTCTATGGGGAACTCCTAGGCACATTTCCCTAATTGAAGTCTGAACAGGGACAAGTCACACTATGGGCTCCGTCTCCCTCCCTTCTCTTATTCACTCCCAAACAGGGCAATCTGAAATAAAAACAAGGTAAAATGAAGACCCAGGGTAACCCTGAAGAGGAAATGAGTGCAATGTGCACTGGGGGAATGGGGGAAGAAAAGCTATTCTATTCTTGATTGCGTAACAGAGATGGCAGTGGTGGAGCTGAAGGGATTCTGGGCTGGTTTTCTGCACATGAGGCTCAGGTCTCCTTCTGTCTGTTGTCAGAGCTATGTATTTCTCACCCACCACCTGTCTCTCCTGGTCACTGTCCAATTGGCAATGCCAAGTGGGAACAGTGTGCCAAAATGCAGAGCCCTGATTCACAGTGCCCCCGGATTGACTTGGCACCAGAAAATTGGGGTTCTGATCCTGGCTCTGCCACTTCCTAGCTGTGTGACCCTGGGCAAATTAATTCCCTTTTCTGGGTCTTAGTTTTGTCATCTATAAAATGGGGGGTGGGGGCGAGAGTAGACTAGACTAAGGTCTCTTCCAGCTCTTAATGATTCTAGCTATAGGTATAGCTATATAGGTATATTGGGGGGAGTGGAGGTGGAGACAGGAGGGATGTTTTAAATTTAAAATATTCTTGAATGAGCCAAAGAAGGGAATGGGTTCTTGACTCTAACTGGGAAAAAGGAGGGATTCTGTGAAGTTCAAACTCACTTTTCCAGCTGCGTTTGGATGGGCATCCTTCTCCAGTAGTAGCTCAGCCACGTTTACCTTTCCATATTTAGCAGCAACATGGAGAGGGGTAAATCCTTTCTGAGAAGAAACAAAGAGCATTAGAATCCTGAAGAGAAGGAGCAACATTATGGGGGAGCCCAGGGGATCAAAGGGAGGAAGGTCAGATGCTCTACCAAACTAGATACTCCAATGCCCATTAACTGGGGAATGGCCAACCAAGTTGTAGTATATGATTGTGGTGGAATACTCTTAGGTGAGAAGAAATAATGAAGGGGATGGTTTCAGAAAAATCTGGAAAGACTTACATGAACTGATGCAAAGTAAAATAAGTAGAACCAGGAGAACATTTGTTCAGAGTAAAAGCAATAGCCTACAAATGATCAACTGTGAAAGACTTATCTACTCTGATCAAGACAATGATCCAAAACAATTCCAAAGGACTTGGGATGAAAAATGCTATCCACCTTCAGAGGGAGAACTGATGAACTCTGAATGTGGAGTGAAGCATACTTTTTTTTGCTTTCTTTATGTTTCTTCCTTTTTATTTATTTATTTTTCAACATGGCTAATGGAAAGATGTTTTACATGACTTCAAACGTGTAATTTATATCATATTGCTTGCCTTATTGATGGGTAGTGGAGGAGCAGGAGTGAGGGAGAGAATTTAGAACTCAGAGTTTTAAAAAATAAATGTTAAAAATAAATAAATAATAATAACAATAATAAAAACTAGACACTCCAAGTTCTTAGAGCATGGAGAAAGGGCTAGTTACTAAAGAGGTGAGAGTAACCGCGGATCACTACCTCACAGATTGAACCAAAAGCAGTCAGGAGATCACCAAGCTTCCTGCAAATCTAATTAATTGTGCTATTGATTCATCATTTATCACATGCTGCCTGGTAAGGTTATTTAACTCTTCCTGTGAATATGCCTCCCCAACCCCACCAAACAAACAGGCTCCTTCAGAATAGGACCATGCGTTGTGCCTCTTTCGTATTTTCCTCAGAACCTAGCATAATTCTGGGCAACTAGTACATGGCCAATAATTAACCACTGATTTATGTACTGATGTACCATTTTGGAAAAGGAAGGCACCCATCCAGTTGACAAACTGGAGCACGTCTGAAGGAGTGCGTATTTGTTGTCTCTCCAGTTAGAATGTAAGTTCCTTGACTGCAGGGTCTATTTCCACTTTTTCCTTGAATCTCTAGTATTTAGCAGAGAGTTTGGCACAAAGCACAAAGTAAGTGCTTAATAAATTCGGGTTGATTGACTAAGTGAGCAAGTGACTGAAATGATGAAGGTACTCAATATCAGGAGGACTGGTTGAAGAAACTGGGCTGGGGTGTCTATACTTATTTACCCTGAAGGGATGACTTAGGAGGGCCATGATATCTGTCTTTAAATGTTTGAAGGGCTTGGAAGAGGGATTAGACTGGTTTTGCTTGGCTCTAGAGGACAGAACCAGAACCAATAAATAAAAGGCACAGGTGGGCAGATTGGGGGGCTTGGCAGAAGGAAACACTTCCCAACATCTAGGAAATGAATAGGTCATCTCCCAAGGTAGTTGAGTTTCCCACCATCGGAGTAGAGGCTGAATGACCACTTGTCAAGGATGTGTAAATGGGATTTACCCTACCCATAGGGATTGGACTAGAGGCCTTATGGAGCCCCTTTCTAGATCTCAGCTTCTATGACTCTATGACCTCTCACGACAGAGCCAAGATTGAGGATGCCAATGTTTCCCAGCTGTTCCCAGAATCACCAAGACAGCAGAGATGACTAGACAGGGATCCCCCTCTCACACAGTCAGCCCGGCCACCCACTTGTCTATTTGTTTCTCAGAGGCACAGAGAAAGAGATGAAAACCTTGGTCATGCACGCCTGGGAGGCTTCCTTCTCTAGTAGGGCCTGGGCTGTTTCCATATGACCCTCTCGTGCTGTGATGTGCAGAGGGGTGTGTCCAGCAGTCGTGGAGAGGTTAGGGTTGGCTTTGTTTTCCAGGAGAAGCTTCACCATGTTTGTATGACCGATGCGAGCTGCACAGTGAAGTGGGGTCTGGTCATCCTGAATGGGGAGGAAAGAACCAGGTGAGGAGGCAGGTACCTTATGTGATAGGCAGCCTCCCTTGGGGGCATGAAGGAAGAGCAAAGAGAATCATCCTGAGTAATTCCATGCTTCCTTTGGGACATATGGATAGCTATCTTGCTTCCTTTCTTCCTTCTCTTCTTTCTTTTTGTTCCTTTCTCCTCTTTCTTTTCTTTCTTTCTTCCTTTTAATCTATCATCTTTGTATTTATCTATACATCATCTTTCTATCATTTTCCTGTCATTATCATCTTTCTATTTGTCTATATATAATCTTTCTATTTACCTATTAATCATCTTTCTATGTATCTATCTACCTATGTATCTCTGCATGTATGTATTCATCCATCCATCTATTTACCTATCATCTATCACAAAAGTGTTACGAAGTGAGGTCCTATAAACTCTAACAGATGGTCCATTTCCCACTCTGCTTTGGATTTCCCTGATGTCAGGAACCAGGACTTACACAGAATTGCTCAAGGGGAAGTCATTGAACTCTCTTGTTTACACCCTAAGGTTGCTGGGCTTTGTTCAGCCCCAGAGATCTCTGAGTTACTGAGCCAGGATTCACTGTTCACATAGCACTCGTCCAAGATCACAGGTCACACTGTGCATAGTGCCAACCTTCTGTCCCCAACAGGCAGGAGGGGAAGGAAACACTGACCCTGATCTTAGTCAACTGTACAAGTCCTCCAGTTATTCTATGACTTGCTCACGCCTTTAGCACTTATTTCAAAGCAAGGGCAAGTCATTCTGAATCAAATAATGTATGCTCTTGTTACACTGGGAATACAATCTCTGAAAGTTGCTGTTCTTTGTGTTCTCAGGAATCACCGCTTTCCCTTTTTGACCCCTTAGAATTTATAGACTTTGTGGCATGGGAGACAGATACCTGGCCTCAAAGCCAGGAAGAGCTGGGTTTGAGTTCTGCCTATTACTTGTACTGACTCTGTGACTCTGGGGAAGTGATTTCACTTCTCAGTGGCCTAGGCCAATAGCGTCAAGCTCAAATAGAAATGGCCACATGCTTAGAAAACCACAAGTTAACATTATCTATGTTTTATCGTATTTTTATTTATTTTAAATATTTCCCAATTACATCTTAATCTGATTGAGAGTTTTGCTGCATGCTGGTGTGGGCCATGAGTTTGATAACTCTGCCCGAGGCATCTCTCTAATTATTTAAGTTGAAGAAAGAGTGCCTACCTCCATTGGTGGAGGAGGTTTCCTGATCTGGGAGTTCCTCTAACAATGAAGTCGCAAGTCCAAAGCCTATCCCTTGATTAAAGGCTACCAATAAAACATGAGTTAGATGGAGGCAGAGCTCTCTGGATTAAGTCACTTTCTCTCTCTTTCTGAGCCTCAGTTTCCTCTTCTGTAAAATGAGAGGGTTGGATTAGATGATCTCTAAGATCCCTTCTAATTTTAAATATTAGGAGCCCATGGTCCTAAGAACTGCTCACAAAACCAATCCCTTTGCCCAACTTGAGTGAGAGTGATGGATAAGTTTTCTTAGGAAGAAATGCATTTCACTGAAATGGAACTCTTGATCTTCCTTTTCCTACAACCTCCCCCCTTTTTTTTCCTTCTGAACTCACCTTGGCCTTGGCATTAACTTTGGCTTTGTTCTGGAGTAAATATTTGGCTACTTCTGTGTGCCCAGCTCTGGCTGCCATATGCAGTGGTGTCTCCACTTTCTATAAAACAAAAAAAGTTCTCAAGTGTTCATGGATGGTTCATTCCCACAATGACACATAGCAAGCTCTCAAGTTCTTCCTTATTGTGTCTTAGGGATTTTATTCTTAAGAGGTGGCATTCTCCCAGAAGGTACCTCTTTTATTTTAGGAAGCCTTGTGAGGAAATTGTTGTGCTCCCTTCCCTAGGATAGTGGGGAGAAGGTTGGGGAAAAGTGGGTCATGAAAAGACCAGAGAAGGTTAAGACGTCCATGGAAATGGGGCCAATGTAGGCCAAGCACAATGGCTGTTACAGAGAGATCAACAGAGCAACCAATTAGATGGTATAATGGAAATGCACAATATGGCTGGGCAGGTAAATGTGACCTGAGTCTAGGAGCAATGGGTCCTAGGTGGTCCTAGTCAAAGTAGTCCATACAGAACAGGACTGAAAAGCAGTAGAAATGGGGGAGCCTAGGGTCTTAACTTGTGATGAGTTGCTTTGCAGAAGGAATTAGCTAAGGCAATGTGAGTTCATGGTGACAGCTGAACACATTAATTCCCTTTTGTCACCCCCCTGATTCAGTTTCCCTTCCACTTAGTTAGAAGAAATTAAATTCTGGATTAAGGCATACACACACACACACACACATATAGATACATACGTATACATATATGTGTGTGTATGTATATATTCTAGATATAATAAAAAGTATATGTAAGTGGATTTCTTTTTTCTTTTCTTTTAAACAATTTATCATTTTTATGATTAAACATGAACAAACAGGAACATTTCCTTACATTTTAAAAAGTCACAAAAAAAAGAATTGCATAAGAAATTGTGAATCTCTATTACGTGCAACTTCCTTTAAATGTACTTTAAAACTGTACTCAGATAACCTACATAGGGCATTCCCAAGCTGCTATCCAGAACAAAAGACTGACACTGCCCTCACCATCATTATTATATTTCTGCTCACCTCCGACATTCAGAGGTTCTTTCTGTATATCTAATTTGAAGGGAAGTCAGTATAAAAAGGGTATTATGCCCCAGTCTGAAGGTTCTATTGCTCTGGGAATCATACTCATATCCCAAGAGACATGATCTCACAAAGCTAATTAAAGCTCTTCCCTTGTCTCTGGATGCTAAGATAACAGGCCCTAGACCTTACCACATTGGAGACATTAGGTGATGCTCCCCGCTGAAGAAGATTCTTCACGATGGGAAGGTGCCCCATGAAGGACGCTACGTGGAGTGGGGTCAGTCCAGACTGCAACAAAGAAAAGGAATGTAAAAACAAGTTCGCTGTTCAATTGGGCAAATGCCAAATGGAGAGAATACTTACCTTATATAACCTCTGGTGGTGGCTTTTGAGGGGCTGTGGGGGGGGTGGCTTTGTTTCTTGGGTATATAAGTGTTTAATTTGCATTTTGTGCCCTGGTGTTTTATGGGAGTGAGCAGATGATGAATTGGGGTGGTCTGGTAGCTCCTGAAGAGCAGGAGTGAAATAATAGAAACAATAATAATAGCTAACATTTATGTAGTGCTTACTATGTGCCAGGTACACTGCTTAGCACTTAACAGTTATTATCTAATTTGATCCTCACAAGAACCCTGGGAGGGAGGTGTTCTAAGATGAGGAAGTGACTTGCCCAGGTTATCCTTTGGGAAAAGGACACTTCTTCCAAGCAGGACTGGAGGGACAGCTAGGCTGAGGTGAAGTATTGGTCACCCTGAGTCTGCCTGAGTCTGTGACCTTTGGTCAGTGCAGGACAAGATCAGTTTCCAGAGGTCAGTCCTACCTACCAGAGGTATGTCCGTGGAAGGGGAATACTACAGCCTATTCCTGACTCCCAGGGCCCTGGATGTGGTAATAAACCAGGAGTGAGGATTAAAGCCATGTGAGAATCATCCACAATTTGGCTGAAGGACTAACAAAACACTGAAACTACTTTCTGGTAACAGCCTGAGTGTCTAGAGGAGAGCTGTGGACATTTTGTGGAAAGTCTGGAAAAGGCCCTGCGCTGGGATGTGTTTCATCCCACCAGCAGAGAAATACCTCCTGGAATGACCCACCTCAGATGAGGTCAAAGCAGCTTAGGACCTGGGAGCTGCACAAACCCACCCATGAATGGGAAGCACGTCCTTGAGAGACAGGAAATCTCTAGTGGGCTGGGCTGTGTAATAAGATATCCATCCCCAAAGCTTCCAGGCTGGGGGCTCAAGCAGAGGCAGGAACAAAAATCCTCCAAGGGAGGAATCCTACAACCTGCCAGAGAGCAACCTACATCCTCGCTGGCCTATGAGTGCGGAAAAGTGAGTCACCTACCTCAGTGACTGCGTCTATGGAAGCTCCCGTCTTCAGCAGCAACTCCATCACGCGGATGTGATTCTTTTTACAGGCGATGTGTAAGGGCGTGAAGCCGTTCTACAACACAGTCAGACAGGAGATGCCCACACACCAATCAAGAACACACAATGTCACCTTGTGTCTAGACTGCAGCCTTCACAGTCATCAAGTCAGAAAGTTTCCACATATGAAATGCAAATAGATGTAAATCATGTGGCATACAGGTAGGCCTCCCTTTACGCACTAAAATGTGCCTGAACAAGCAATAATCATAATCATAAGCTATAGCTACAAAGTGTTTTGGTAAATCTAGTTGTGTTTTTTATATACTAGGGGAGGTTGGGATTTTGGAGGAGTTTGATTTTGAGACTAGGTCTCCCTATCTCACTCAGGCTGAAAGTAGGGCCAGCTAATCACAGACCCGATCCCCATACTGATTGAAATAGAAGTTTTAATCTGTTCTGTTTTTCTGACTTGAGCCAGCTCACTTTTTCTTAGTCAGCTTGGTGGCTCTTTGTTCCTGGGGGCTCACCTTATTAGTGTTGGACTTAGTGTGGACATCTGGTCAGCGCTAGCCCTTTTGCAGCTCAGAACTCCTGAGCTCAAGTGATCCACCAAGCTCGTCCTACCCCAAAGCAAGGAGTGTAGGCAGGGGTGTGCTGGAGCCAGCTCAAACCCACTCATGAGATCTGACTGTTAAGTTTTCAGTGTGAGGATTCATACCTCAGAAATTGACCAGTGCCATACATCATGATTTGATTTATTCTTTTTTGATTGTTTAGACTTAATAAAGTGATGGAGAAAATGTCAATAATGCAGATTAAACTTAGAAGTGTGTCATGCATACATTCCCTCCCTCACTCCCTGCCCCAGGAGCCAGTTGTTAAACATTTATCAGCCCACCATTAATTACAGGTATGTGCCACTGTGCCCAGCTGGGAACATGTTCTTTTAAGGAACTCCTTGCTGAATTCTTCTATATAGTGAAGAATCCTTTTGTAAAGCAATTTATGCAGCTCTCCCTTCCAATTTTATAATTTGTATAAATTGAGATTTTTGTAGCGAGGTGCATTTGTAATATGAGCCAACAACTTGTGTAAGGACAGGGAAAATTCAAAAGCCTTTCCCTTTTCTTCCTTCTTTCCAGAGTGGCAAAGCTAGGTCCCTGGGCACCCAGGATAGAGTGGCGTGAACACTCAAAGACATGCTGAGCTGACCACATACTGGAAGGGCCAAGAATAATTTCAACTTAGAGGGGGTAGGGGAAGATACCTACAACCTCTGGAGGGTTATTACTTTAGATCTGGACTCATTTCTAGGAATTGTGAGTCCCCTTGGAAAGGCAAAGGTTTGGCCTGGGCACATACGCAGAAAGATCCCGGAAACGTTTCTGCTGTCCGATGACATCTCATGCAGGCTCTCCCCATGCAAATTGCCAGCTGATATGAAGTATTCTGGTCCAATCTAGTTGAAAACTCCACTCTGAATAAGGGCATATCACCCTCTGGTATTCACCGAGGATAGGGCAATAATGCAGAACGTCGGGGCCTTTAGAACTGGGTGAGGAGGGATGACACTTCACAACTGTCAGAGTCCTGTCGAATGTCCCATAACTCATGCTAACTGCTACGGACACCTTTAGGACAAAAACCCCTCCCTCAGCCCTCACCCTTTTCCATCATCCTGCCACTCACCAGCGCTCTGGAGTTGGGTTTGGCCCCTTTATCCAAAAGCACCTTGGCCACTCGATGGTGACCACAGTGGGCCGCGACATGGAGAGGCGTCAGGTGGTCCAGGGTGATATCGTCTATTTCTGCATTGTACTGTAGCAGGAGCCGCACGCAATCTAGATGGTCACCCTGAGCCGCCATGTGGATAGGGGACAAGCCATTCTGGGTAAAGAAAGGAAAAAATCTTGCAACTTCAGAACCACCTTTCCAACGTTCTCTCCAAATATCCCAAAACGTGACCTCCACTCTAGCCAGTCCATCTCTCAAGATCCTGTCTCCTGAATAACCCCTACAACATGAGCCAGTGGAAAGAATACTGGATTTGGGGTTAAGAGACTGATTCTAATCCTGGCTTTGCCATTTATTACCTGTGGTATATAGGACAAATGTCTTAACCTTCTTATGTCTGTAAATTGTGGTTGCTTGTCTTTTGTTCTTGGAGGGGACCAATGACATCATGAGGGTGATGTCTTGACTTGTGCGTGAATTGGGTTTGAGTGAGGCAGAGCTGGGCAAAGTCGCCCTCCCCTCTAGCAACAAGACAAAACTCAGGATGATTGGTGATGGCCTGGGACACAGTGGACGGCCTTGGCCTTTCTGAATTAAGGTCTTTCCCAGCTCTCAAGCTGTCTTGAATATAGATAGCTATGAATTGAGGGTGGTGGACTAGGTGATTTCTAATGTCTATCACTGGCAGCACCGGACTTGGAGTCAGGAGGATTCATCTTCCCGAGTTCAAACCCAGCCTCACACACTTACTAACTACGTGACCCTGGACAAGTCACTTAACCCTGTTTGCCTCAGTTTCCTCATTTGTAAAATGAATTGGAGAAGGAAATGGCAAACCAACTCCAAATGGGACCACAGAGAGTTAGACACAACTGAAACATCTAAATAACAACAAACTGCATGGGTAGAGGGAATTTCCTCCTCTGGGAGTTCCCTCTACTAGTGAGATCACAACTCCAAGTCCCTATATTGATACTACTTGTCTGTTCGAATCTTTTAGCATCTAATCACTCACTGCCTGATACTTTAAAAAAAAAAACAACTTTTCATGAGTGTGTGTGTGTGTGTGTGTGTGTGTGTGTGTGTGTATCTTACCTTACAGACTATAAATTTCCTGGGGGCAGGCACTTTTGATCACAGTGATCAGAATATCTAATGAGACAGGTAGGTTGATGCAGTGGCTACAGCAATAGGCCCAGAGTCAGGAAGACCTGAGTTCAAATCCACCCTCAGATACTTACTAGCTGTGTGACCCTGGGCAAGTCACTTAACCTGTCTGCCTCAGTTTTCTCATCTGTAAAATGGGGATCTTAATAGCACCTTCCTCTCCAGGTTGTAAGTATCTAATGACATAATATTTGTAAAGATCTTTGCAAACCTTAACATACTATGTATGAGTTAGCTGTGATTATGAATAGTAGTATCATGCATGGGAAAAGTGCTCAGCAAATGTTTGTCAGTGGAGTGATAGAATGTGAAAACTGCATACAGATGAAGAAATTTAGGCTAAAGAGGTAGAAGGAGAGGTAGAGTGACCTACCAAAGCCATATAGATGGTATGATGTCAGAGCCAAGACTCATAACCAGGGCTTCTGTCTCAGTCTAGCACTCCTTATACTACTACCACTACCACCAACTAGTAAACACTACTACCACTACTATTACTACTACTGCTACTACCCCTACCACCACCACCACCACCATTTATGTAGTACCTACTGCTTGCAGGCACTGTGTAAAATATTTTACAATTATTATCTCATTTGATGCTTACAACAACCCTGGGAGGGAGATGCCATTATTGATCTGATTTTACACAAGGGGAAACTGAAGCAAACAGCAGTGAAGTGACTTGCCCCCAGGTCACATAGCTAGTCAGTGTCTGAGGCTGCATTTGAACTCAGGTCTTCCCGACTTTAGGCCTGGCTCTCTATCCATTGCACTGTGTAGCTGCCAATGGAATTTGGGATGAAATCCCTTTGCTGCTCTAAACATACAGACACACACACACACACACACACACACACACACATCTTTTCTTACAGTCTTACTTTTTGTTTCTCAGCAATTCAATTTGGTCAGTAAATATGCATCTTGTTTTTATGGATTCAAAGTGACAGCATTTTGTTTTAATATTGGGTTAATTTGATGTTAAATGACATTAAAGATAGACAATATACATTACAGTATAGTGGTAGAATATTAAAATCTGGGACCAGAAAGAAAATCTTCTAAAGGGTCGCTCATATATATGAACATTAATATTAATAATAATATTAATAGTGGCAGTAGCATTACCTTCCATTAGCTTGGTGCTTTATACTTTCCAAAATTCTTTAAAAACTTTTTTTATTAGTATCTTTTTTTTGTTTTTAGATTACCTTCATTTCCAAATATATCCTTTCCCCTCCCCTATTTAGAGAGCCATCCCTTATAGCAAAGAATAAAAAAGAAAGAGAAATACAAAGCACTTTCACACACAGGGTGCAAAGGAAGAAATGCTGGATTTGGAATCGGGAGATGTGGGTTTGAATTCTGGCTCTGCCACTTACAGCATGTGAGACCTTGGGCAGGTTACTTCCTATGTGTGGGACCCAGTTTCCTTATCTGTCATGAAGGGGTCAGGCAGATGGCCTCTAGTTCTGTGATCCTGTGACCTAGCTCTAACCCTTTGGTTCAAAGGAAGAAGAAAGTATGGACACCACTCATTTGATCTTCACAACAATCCTGAGCAATGCCCTTATTGGACCTGTCTTCTAGATGAGGCCCAGAGAAGGTCAAGCGACTTGTTCAAAGTCACAGGACAAGTCAGTGATGGAACCAGAACTGGGTAAGCAGATCTAGCAGAGAAGGCCACATTCTCCCTGCCCCTTTAAAGGGAGGAATCCTCAGGCAATACAAGATCTTGCTTAGGTCTTATGAATGATGTGGAACAATACAGGCGTGTCTACGTAAGTTTAACAAAGAGTTGATGGCAGCGAGCTGCTGTTCTTAAAAGAGAAGGTTCACAGACAACAGTGGAGGTGGGCTGGGATGGTGGAAAGAGCACTGGGCTCTCTCTTTAGGTCACAGTGTTGCCCCTTGTTATCTATCTGTTTATTTATTTATTTATTTTTAGGCAATTGGGGTTAAGTGACTTGCCCAGGGTCACACAGCTATGCCCCTTGTTATCAATGGGAGCCAGCATGGTGTAGGGTTGTAGTATCAAACTCAAATAGAAACAGAGGCCACTAAACCAAGTCACTCAAGCTCTTTGTGCCTCAGTTTCCTCATCTGCAAAATGGGAAGTTGGGACTCAATGAACTCTAAGTTTCCTTTAAGTTCTAAACCTGTGATCTTAGGAATACTTATAATTCCCATTTTATACAGTTACTGTAAGGAAAATGCTTTGTAAATCTAAACAAGGCATATAAAGATGAGTTATTCACAATCTTCTGCCTCTTTTTGTATTCCCAGCACTTGGCACAGTGCCTGGCACATCTGACCATCGTTTAGTCATTTTCAGTCATGTCCAACTCTTTGTTACTCCATTTGGGGTCTTCTCAGCAGAGATACTGGAGTGATTTGCGATTTCCTTCTTCAGCCTATTTTAGAGATGAGGAAACTGAGGCAAACAGGGTTAAATGACTTGTTCAGGGTCACACAGCTAGTAAGTGACTGAGGCTAATCATCTACTAAGATGCTAAATAAACATATATCAAATGGAATTGATAGTAATAGCAAATCTGGACACAACCTTCAGATTGTGACCTTGGAAAAGGGCCTTCAAACATGAACGAGGCACACACCTTGGTCTTGGCCTGGATGGGTGCCCCATGGTCCAGCAGGAGCTCTGAGATTCGCACATGCCCATTTCTAGCTGCACAGTGGAGAGGAGTCAATTCATCCTTAAAAAACAAAACAAAACAAACAAAAAACAACCCAATTATCAGAAGCCACTCCAAGATGACAATGAGCATCCTCACGGTCACCCTTTATTAACATGGAGTGCTGCTGTATCCGTAAGGATGATCTCTTTGTCTTCATCTGCACTGTGGCCGCACACTGTTCCGCTAGCCTTTCTGGTGCATTGTTAATTAGGTCACCAAGAGAGCCCACTGCTCATCCAGAGAATCTGCCTCCAGTGCAAAAATCCCTCCCCTTGCATTTCCACAGCCGAGCTCCCTGGCGGGTGCAGCAAGCTCAGAACCTACCTTGGTCCTCGTTTCTATCTCAGCCCCGCGATCCAGCAGGAGTCGTACCATGATCACATTCCCTCTACGAGAAGCAATGTGCAGGGGAGTGATGCCATTCTGGAAAAGAACGGGCCAGGAGAAGTCAGAGAGGTATCTTAGACACGGGCGCCATGCTGTCCTGGGGAGGACAGCTCCCATTCACTCTGAGTCTGGTGCAGAAGTCTTCCTTCCCTTAAGAAGTATTTCAAAAACACTTAAAACTCGGAACCAGCAAGGCTGACCACGGTAACGCAGGTTAAATTCAGCCGCAACCGACACTGATTGAGATGAGCTCTGAGTTTCCTCCCCACTCAGCCAGATAACTCCTCCTAAGAAGTGGAACTCTCTTTTTACCAGATTCTGTCCTGTAGCAGGGGTGTGGTAGTGGCCCCAGCAAATCTTTATTGCATAGATCTGGTGATAGCACTCTTCTGACAAACTTCAGGTGACTCCCTTTGGCCTACCCAGCAAACTTCCTTGTATGGCATTCAAGGCTCTGCACAATCTGTGGCCACCCTCCCTTTTCAGCTTTACTTACCTCTCCCTCTTGATGTCTTTGATCTTCTCAGAGAATGAAGGACGAACAATATGATAACAGCTATCGCCTACTCTCCAACACCAATATCTATGCTTCTGCCAAACTACACTACTCCCTGTATCCTATACATGCCTTGTCCTTTCCCACCTCCAAGCTTTTGCTCATACCATAGCCAAAATTACCTTCCTGATATCTAGGACTGTTGGATTCCTACCCATCATTTTAAGCCCAACTCTAATACCAGCCTTTCTTAATCCTGGCTTCCTGCTTCAGACCTCACAAAATACTTTCTTCATACTTCTCTAATGTACTTACACATTATTCTGTATCATGGTTGTGTCTCTCTCTGTTATAACCCTTACTAGATGATAAGCTCCATGAAGGCAGGGATCATATTTCATTCAAATGTTGCATTTGCCTCAGGGTCTAGCCTTGTGCTACACGTAAGCACTGTATACACACCATGAATGTTTGCTGAATTGGAATGAAAAACTCAATGATAGGAAAAAAACCTCAGTGGTGTATCCCATTAAGTCAAAGGGAGAATGTAACAGATTAGTACCAAACAAAGCCATTATCACCAAAGGGTCAAAGCCTACAGAATTTGCCAGAAAGAATGAAAAGGACTTTAACAGGGACCAGAGATGTACTTGACTATTAATAGCTTCTTAGTATTCCTGCTTCTTGTCCAGGGGTGGGGGACCTGCCACCTCGAGCCCACATGTGGCCCTCTAGGTCCTCAAGTGCAGCCCTTTGAACGAATCCAAACTTCACAGAACAAATCCCTTAATAAAAGGATTTGTTGCTTGGATTCTTATAATCTAGCCGCTGCTCAGATTTTACAATCTAGCCAATAGCTCACAGATGCTCAGATTCCTTAAGAGTCTGGCTAATATGGCGGATCCTTAATGAACCTTGTCTTGGGCTGAAAAAAAAATAAAAGGATTTGTTCTGTAAAACTTGGACTCAGTCAAAAGGCCATACCCAAGGACCTAGAAGGCCACATGTGGCCTCCAGGTGGCAGGTTCCCCCACCCCTACAATCTCCCCTCTCCAATCCATCCTCCACACAACTGCTAAATTAATATTTCTAGACAAATGGGTCTGATGACGCTACACTTCTGCTCAGGAACCTTTAAGAGCTCCCTATTGCCTCTAAGATAAAATACAAACTTATCAACGTGGCATTTAAAGCTTACCACAACAAGGCTTTCACCTACCTTCCACACTTATTTCATACTATTTCTTTTTGTACACAATATGTTTCAGCCAAACTGACCTACTAGCTGTTACTCAAATTTGGCATTCTATTTCTACACTTTTGTATACTCTCCTTGCCTGGAACACACTCTCTCCTTATCTCCAATTCTTAGAATCCCCAGCTTTTCTCAAGCTTCAGCTCAGTCACCAACTCCTACAGAAAGCCTTTCCTCCCCATTCCACCCTGAGTTGTTTGTGCTTTCTTCCTCCTCGAATTATCTTATATTTATTTATCTATATACATGTTGCATACCTCTCTCTCAGTAGAATATAATCTCTGTGAAAGCAGGATCTGTTTTGTTTATGTCTTTGCATGCCCAGAACCTAGTACTACAGTGTCTCACACAAAACAGACCCTCAATAATTATGAATTTTTGAACGGCAAAATTGAAATATTCTCCAACAAGTATCTCACTAACTGTCAGAATGAGAAAGAAGAACACCCAGACTCTCCTTAAAAGGCTACTACATTACCCAGACCCCCCAGGGCTGATCGCAAGAGGAGGTCTGGTTCAGCTGTTACCTGGGGAGTAAAGTTGACATTGGCGCCCCGGTTTAGTAGTAATTGGGCCACATTGAGGTTCTCATAGTGGGCTGCTATGTGGAGCGGGGTGAATCCTGTCTGTTAAACAAAGAGAAGAAAAACTGATCAGTAGAATCTGACTTTTTGAAATGCCAACTAGACTGCCTTGGTACCTGGGGACGTCGAATGTGATCAGAGGAGCTACCAATGTACTACAGCCTGGGGCCAGACAAAAAATATTTCCTGTTGGGGGGGCCAAATGTTCACTGGTAGATCCCTGCTTGGTGAGTTACCAGAACATAGCAAATGACCTTTGTTATTTATCTCGTGGCATGTAGGAATCCTCCTGGGGGTAAGCATAGTATATAGAATCATCCTGAACTCACTTATCTATAAGGATCCAAGATCTAAATGGGATTTTTTTCAACCTAATTCATGGACTTGATGGTCAGTTAGCTCAGCTGATTAGTGAATGATGCTAACCACATTGAAAGGCAGGTAAGTGGTGCAATGGATAGAGTGCTGGGCCTGAAAGTCAGGAAGGCCTGAGTTCACATCTGGCCTCAGACACTAGTAGTGTGAGCATTGGCAAGTCACTTCACCTCTCTTTGTCTCAGTTTCCTTAACTGTAAAATGGGGATAATAATAGCACCTATCTCTCAGGGTTGTTTTGAGGACCAAATGAGATAATATTTGTGAAGAGCTTAGCACAGTGCCTAGCACACAGTAAGCACTTAATAACTACTTGCTTATTTACTTCCCAACAAGGCCAAGATAAGTAGGTTGGTTCTTTCCCTTCTAATTGTTATCTGTCTAACTCTGCCTTACCATGTTGCAAATACATGCATATGGTCACAAGAGGGAGCAGGAAGGAGAGAATATGAATAGCAAATCCATCCTTGGTCCTGCAAAAATAACTCAGTGAACATCCCCTAACAATGATAACTCAAAGCACAGTGCCATGTGCCTGATGGGGGCCTCATAAATATTGAATGAATAAATGAATGAATGGAGTTATTAATGTAATATTCTTCACCTATATGGATGATAATATCCAAAGGGGCAGTGTGGTGCAAGGCAAGGACTTGGGAATCAGAAGACCCAGTTCGGGGTTCCACCCTCACATTTCCTTACTGTTTGACCCTGGATAAGTTCTCTCTCTGAGCCTCAGTTCCCTCATCTATAAAACTGGCATAACAACTGAACCATCTACCTCACAGGGCTCTTGTGAGGAAAGTGCTTTCTAGATTGCCTAGTGCGAGATAAATATATACTATTATGGCCCAGGGTGGCCCTGGTCCATTGCTCGTCATTACTCATCATTTCACTTTGCAGCCTCCACCAGAAGGCAAGCTGAGTAAAAGAGAAAGGATTAAAAACTCAGCGCTATATCAGTCACATGGCCAAAATGACCTGGCTGGACAAATTTATGGACGACATGGGGTGACAAGAAATACACACTGCTTGCTTGTGGTATTTCTACCACAATGCTAATTGTGATATATAGTTTGGGGGTTGTCTATTTTGGTGCTGAATTTGCATAATATTAATTTTCATCTTTGGTCTGGGTTAATTCATGCCCAACATCTCTAGAATTATTTGCAAGAAGGAGCCTCTGTTCAGTAGCTACAGACAGTGCCTCTGTCCCACAGATTTAATGGTCCAGACATCTGAATCATCTGCTGTGCCATTCCCTTACCTTGGACAGCACATCTGCATTTGGGTCATTTTGGAGCAGGACAGCGGCTGTTCTTGTGTCGTCGTTCCGGGCTGCGATGTGAAGGGCTGGCAGACGCACCTTTCCCTTCGTCCCATAGTTGATCAGGTGAGCCACCACATTCTCATGACCCTGCTGCAGCGCCACAGCCAATGGTGTGAAGCCATCCTGGCCAGAAGAGAGAAGGAGAAGATAAGGGGAGCAGGGTGACTGACTACAAATATGACTTTGAGCAGTTCACATGACTTTTCAGACACTCGGTTGCCTCATCTGTAAAATGAACAAGTTAGCCTTACAGCCCTGAAACCTTGTCATTAATAATAATAATGATGATAGGAACAACAATTGATTTTTAGAGCTGGAAGGGACTCTGGAGACAATCTAGGGAAATTACCCTTTTTAAAGATGAGGAAAAAGGCTCAGAGACATTGTCACTAAACTAAGATCAGTCAGGTATTAAGCAGTAGAGTTGGACATCATAGAATCACAGAAGCTCAGGATTGTAAGGGACCTCAAAAGGGCCCATCTGCTCCAACCCAGAAAAGAGGCAGTGTGGTACAGTGGAAAGAGCGCTGACTTGAGTCAAAGGAGCTGAATTAAAATCCCACCTTTGATATTTATCCCCTGTCTGACCTTGGACAGGTCATTTAGGGACCTTGGGGCTTTTCCTTATCCAGGTTTCTTCTCACTCTGAATCTGTGATTGCTATGAATGAGAATCCCCTCTACAGCCTACCCAACAAAGTGGTCATTCCAGCCTTTCAATTGGAATTTCTTCCAGGAAAGAGAACCAAGTGATCAACTCCTGAGGCAGGCTATCTTATTTATGGATAGCATGATTATTAGGAAGTTTTTTTTCTTACATTAATCCCAAATTTTCCCCTCTTTTTTGCCACCCAGATCTCCTGATGCTTAGTCCAATGTTCTCTCCACAACAAGATACAACCTTTTGCCGGGCTGGCCCTCTCTCCTTGAAATATGAAGTAACTCAAAGCTGATTTATTGTGGAAAATTTACACACGTGGGCACTTAGGTTCAAAGAGGGCATGCTATGCAGACTGACCGCCAGGACAGAACTTTGTTTACTTGATAACACCACATTAGAGGCTTTCTGCAGAACTCTTTTGAGTTTTAATTGGTTACATCCATAATTAGGACTGAATGAAAATGGGAAACAGAGTTACCACAAAGGCCTATATCACTGTATTGAAAAACCTAGAACTGGGAGGTGCCATAGAGACCATACAATTGAAATCTCTTATTTTGTAGGTGATAAAATAGACTCTGAGAAATTCATTGACTTGCCCAAAGTGATAGAATTATTCTGAAAAAAGAGGGTACCAGATGCTCTGAAGGTCCCTTCCACCTCTCATCTTTACCGTCGTTATCCACAAACATTAGATTCTCTGATATTTCTGGTAATGAGGGCCCTTGGAGGGAGCTCTCTCTCTCTCTTCCCTTCCTCCCTCTGTCCGTCTCTTTTCTATCTCTCTCTCTTTTCTCCTTCCCCCTCTGTCTTCTCTCTCTCCTTTTCCCTTTTCTCTCTTCCCTCCCTCCTTCGATCTCCAGCTCTCTTTTCTCTCTTTTTCATCTCCCCCTGTCACTTCCTCCTCCTTCCTTTCTCCCCAACTCTGTCTGTCTGTCTCTTTCTTTCTCTCTCCCTCCCTCCCCTCCCTTCCTCTTTCTCCCTGTCTCTTTTCCATTTCCTTCTCTTTCTTTTCCCTCCCTCTCTCTGTCTCTTCTCTCTCTCCCTCCTCCTCGCCTCTCCCTCCTTCCATCTCCATCTGTCTTTTCTACCTCTCTTTATCTTTTCTCTCTCTTTCTTTCTCATCTCTTTTCTACATCCCCCTATCTCCCCTTCCCTTTCTCCATCTCTCTCTCTCTTTCCATCTCTGTCTCTGACATTCTGTACTTTAGCAGTTTGTGCTATAGTGGGCTCTAGTGACTCTCTCTTGGTGTTTTTCCTCTCTTTCCCTTCAGATTCTGGAATGTCAGTTATCATGTACTCTACTCCCCGGGCACCTTTCCCACAATCACCATGAGAATCCAGTAGTCTCCAAAAAGCAGATGCTCAGTAGAAACATCCTTTCTCCAATAATGGTGGTGACTTTATCAAAATGTAGCCAACCATCAATGTGTCTATGTGGACAAGTACATTTGCACACTAGGCTTGGGGCTAACAGGGGTGATGACATTTGACCCAGGTACTCACTTCTGTAGCAACATTCTGATTTGCTCCATTTTCCAGCAGAAACTTAACAACTTCCAAGTGATTTTCTTGTGCTGCCATGTAGAGGGGCGTAAAGCCTTTCTGTGAGCCAAGAAAATAAATCATTATGGAAATTAAAGTAAGACCCTCTATTAGCCTCCCTTTGAAACAGGGACAGGAAGAAGCTTGCCTTGAATTCCATTTCATCAGGTACCAAGAAAGGCTCTTCCATTTTGGTCTACAGTTGCAAAAATGCACAGTAGTCTTGAGATTTTTAGTGGCACCATCTTTGAAGGCTAGAGCATGTGTATTACTCTTTCTATTTTTCTTTCTCTGCCTTCATCTCTGTATCTGTTAGTTTCTTTTGCTCATCCTCCACTTTTTCATTTTGTTTTCTCTTTCACCCAACCATAACTAAAATGAAGTTTATTTAAAAAAAATTTTTTTTTATTAAGTATTATATTGATTGTTGAAAAATAAATGAGTGGATACTTTCCAACTTTCTTTTTTAAAAAAAGCAACTGACTGAATTTGCTTTTTATTGCTTGGTCCTTAAACCATTTCTGTAGGAAAACAGAATCTTTGTCTTAGAGTCTTCAAGAGCATGAGAGAGAAGATTTGTGATTCTCCTTCACACATAGAAATGTAAGTCTCTGTCTGGGCTAGCAAGGTGATTCCTCCAACCACCTGATAGTTGACAAAGGGACACAATTAAGAAAAATCCTGTACCCTGTAGTTGGAGAAAGGAGGTTGGTTTTGGTTGTTGTCATCACCATCATTTTAATATGCCATTTATTATAAACTTAACTTTAAACAGTAATAAAATTTTTAAAAAAACTTAAAAGTTTGCAACAAATTAAAAGGAAAAAAAGACCATCAACATATAGATATCTATATTGACAGTTGCTCCCTCCCTTTATGCCTCCTACCATTGTCTTAGCTAATCCACCCCTATGATTTGTGCATATATACTGTTCTTTCATATGGTCATAATCTGATCTGGTTTTGTTTTCTTCATTTACTTCAGCCACAAGAAAGATATACCCGAGATGGAACTCAGTAAATGCTAGCCCAGCAGAGTCATATCTAGGAATCCTAGAACCTAGGGCAAATTTAGTTGAAGAGGTAAAACAATGGCACGGGCCACAGCAGTTTTTAGGAGAAATGGTCTGACTTTATATATGTTCATACTTGGAGAGAGGGCACCTCCTATTGTCCTCTTCTCCTGACCTCCACAAACCTATGACCTTATACTGTTCTCACCCTTTCCTCCAACTTTGCAAGGGGATGAGCTAATCCAGCACTATAAAGAATGGGGATGACATTCTCTGGACTGCTGTGGGGAGTGTTTCCCCACCAGTGATGCTGGCAACTGGGACAAAGCCCTAGCTGCTTTGCCCCAGTTACACCTCTGGTGTTTCTCTGTCCCTATCCCACCCCTGAGTACCCTATCAACCCAGTGTGATGAAGCCCATGGTGGTGACCTAACTTTGGCATGCCCAGAAACTTGTGGTTTAAAATTCACAGAACATGATGACAATAGAAATGAAGGAAGAGCAAGAAGTAGTTTCTTGGAAACCCTGTTATAATCACCCCTGGAGGCAGAATTAAAGAAATAGATTGTGTTTATTTGAGCAGGACCTTATCAGCACATAATTGGGTGAGGATGGCAGAAGAATAACCAAAGAAGAAAGCTATTACCTTCCAGGCAGTCAAAACATGACTTGGTTGGTTGAAAAGAAGTATGTTACCTGAGACTGTGCGTTGACATTAGCTCCATAGTTAACAAGTTCCCGGACCACTTCATCTTGACCTGCTAGGGCAGCAATGTGCAAGGCTGTGTTCCCCTTCTGAAACACATCATGGATGGAAAGGGCAAAGGTCATTTATCATACAGACATCACAAACAACTCCTCAAATATATTTGGACAAAGAAGCCAGGTAGATGGTCTCTAGGGTGCCTTCCGCCTCTAAAATTCTATGAGTCTAGAAGAGAGGGTTCAATTGACTTTCTTTGTGTGTGTGTGTGTGTGTGTGTGTGTGGGTGGGTGGGTGGGTGTGTGTGTGTGTGTATGTGGGTGTGTGTCCCCAGCATTCCTCTTGGACAGAGATGCTCCTGCTCCTGGCTTGACAAATAGTCAGCATTTCTCCAGATGCCCACTGCTTGGGTAAGCCCACCAGGATGTTTTCCTCAGGTCCCTCTTGCTGTCTTGTCTGTCTGTGGTTCTGCTGGGTGACGGCATGTGCGTAGGACCCTCAGCCAAGCCTGAACAACCAGAAAGAGTAGGCCACCAGTGTGGTCTCAGAACTCAGGCTTGGGAAAATACCCATAACAAATACAAAAAAAAAAGTTCATGCCTAAGTGAAGGCCAAAGAGAAAGGGAAAGTTGGGAGGAGGGCAAATTAGGGGGAGAAGAGAAAGGGAAAGAACAAAGACATGAGGTTTGTGGGCTTCAGATTATATGGAGAAAATTGGAACGAAGGGAGAACCTAAGAAATAGGAAAGGAAAATGTTAGAGGAAATAAGAAAGAAAAAAAAAACAAAAGAAAAAAGAAAATGTGAACTGATTATAATGAGAACAAATGAAATAGGGAAGAATTAGCCAAATGAGGGAGGAGAAGATGCCAGAGAATGAATAGTGGAAGCAAAATAGGAAGGCAATGAGAATCTAGAGAGAAATGTTCTTTAAGAATAAGGAGAGATAATAGAGAGATCAGAAAGTCATGTAGGATCCAAGAAAGAGACAGTAATTTTCTTCTTCTTTTTTTATTTTTTTGCTTGCCCTGAAATGGTCCTTGGTATATTTAAAACCAAATCAAAAGGCAGGAGAGGGATTAGTAGGCCTTGCTTACTGAGCAGTGATGGAACCCAGGCTGCCTGCCTGCCTGGGAACTCTTCCTCCTCTCAAGAGAATCCCATGGGGACATATCAGCATATTATAGATAGTGCAGTGGATAAAGGGCTGGGTCTGGAGTCAGGAAAGCCTGAGTTCAAATCCGACTTCAGACACTTATTAGCTGTGTGTCATGACCCTGGGCAAATTATGTAACCTCTGTCTTCCTCTGTTTCTTCACCTATAAGATGGGGATAATAATGATAGCAACTTCACAGGCTTGTTGTGAGCATCAAACTAGTTCATAGGAATGTAAAGCATTTTGCAAACCCTTAAAGCTTAATATAAATAAATCCTGCCTATTCTTTGGAGAGGCTGGATCACCACCACCCACGTGACCCCCTTAGGATGCTGACTAGGGCTGGGGATGTTGGATTTGTCCATTCTTGTTAAGTCAGGGGCAGGAACCATACCTGAGCTCATTCAATTACTAAGTAATTTAAGCAGCAGAGGGGTGATCTGACTTCATTTTTTACAGCTCATATATAGTGTATGGATTTTAGCCAACAGCTGGCTAAACACTTAATTGATCACAGGAAATTTAGGACCAGATAATCAAGGGACTTTAAAAAGATACTGTTGCTAACTATATGGTAGCTAAAGAAACTTTGTTGCAAGAGACAGAGAAGTGCTTAACAATTTACAAAGGGTCCTAAGTGCCTGTGTAAGGATCACGTTTTTAAAAAATCCAAGTACAAAAGGTGAATGAAGATAAATTTCATTGAAGGGTCACTGGCTATTAAAACTTCCCAAATACCTCATTCAAGCCCCCCCAATTGTCTTTCTTTGTTTCCTTTAGCTGGGAGAGTAAAGAGGATCTGGAGAGATATACCTTAGCTGCTTACCTACAGCAGGTGCTCAAAAAATGTCTGCAAGGGCTGATAGGGTCAAAGCTGGGCTGCTGAGGTCACCTCAGCTGTGGGAATGAAAGGCAGTGGACTGCACTCCTTAGATCCCATCCCACTCAGGTCAGTGGACAGGAACAGTGGCACCACTGTGTTATCACCCAGGGAAGTGAGCCCAGAAATAAGTCTTCCTTTCAGCAGACCTGGCCTTCTCTTTGATTTTTTTCACAGGGCTCCCACTACATGAGCAAAAGGATTCTCCCCCCACTCAAAGAGGTCATTACTAAGAACTGAATGCACAGAGACTAATGATTTTTCATAGAAGACCAGGCTCTTATACTTTTTTTTTTCTGTAAGAGGTTTTGGCTCTTGCGTGAGGCTCGCTTGCTATACCAAGCGAAACAGGTCTGTTGGCCAACACAGTGTAAGAATCAGGGCTTAGAGTGACTGTGAGCAGTCGTGGAGTTTACACCCTTTTCTCCATCTGGGATGAAAGAGGAGAGCCTAGGTCTGACTAGCAGAACCTCCCAGTTTCAAGGTAAATCCACTTCCCATTTTATTCAGAAATCGGTATTTTCAGGGAGGAGAAGGGCAACCGTGGCTTCCTGACCTCTGACTCCATAGGCAAGAGGGGCAGTACTGAGTTAGTGAAGGTCCTGGTCCACACCAGAACTCAGTGGTGCTGAAACACCCTTGGGGGAGGAACAAAAGCAACCGGAAGACTGGGAAATTGACTTACCCCCAAGACATTCTGCATGTGCTCAAGGACAAGGTCACCCTACCCCTAGATCAGGGGGAGAGTCGCAGGGGGAGGGGTGTGCTAGTAGCTCTTCTTTCTCTGCTTGATCTTTCAGCCTGAGGTAACAGCTGCCCTTGAAGGAGCCAGGAAAAATTATTTAGCTGTATTTTGATGCACAAAAATAACCCGGTTTCTCCACTTGTAGGGAGTCAAGAGATCTCGTGGAAGGGAGGAGGGTCAGCAGTCGGTGCTGAGTGGATGGAAATGGAGGGGAGGCTCCCATGGAGATTAATAAAAATGATGGAGGAGCACAGCCCTGCTCCGCTGTCTGTCTTCATGGACAGCCTTGGAGCCACCAGGGAGCCGTGGCTCTTTGCTCCTAGGGGGTGTGGGATGGAAGGGAGAATGCAGATGCTTCACATTAAAAAAAAATTACTAACCATGGCTTATGGGCATGTTGAGTGGATTTTAATATTTTTTTTTTTGTTCTTTGCATTTACATCACGCCAGTGGGATGCTGCGTGTTCTGAAATCTATCCTGACTTGGACTATTGTTTCCCAGATTTCACTTCTCCCCATCACCACCCTTCCTCTCTTCTGCATGAAATTTTGAAACTCACATTGGCTTAGGAAATTTCTATAAATAAAGAAGGATACACCAAGCATTTGCTTGCAAAAACAACCACTGAAAGGAAAATTCAGAGACAGTCAAAAATGATGAAGTGCACTGTCTTTGGAGCTCTTGGGAACTAGCCAGAGTGAGAGTTTTGGTCTCTGGTATCTCAGAGCCTTGTCAGATGGCTTGTCTCCTGCACCCAAGGCAGGTGATAGCATCAGAAGAGGGAAAAACGATGAGTTTTTTTTTTTTTTAAATCTCACAGAAGGGACACAGAGGAAACCATTTAAATTGGCTACAGGGTTGGGGAAAAACTCCTTCACAGGTTTACAAAGCCATCCCCAAACCTTGCAGATCTGCATGGCAAGGTTCTTTTTCACTTTCTGTGAATGACATGAAAATTACAGAATTTTACCTCAAAGAGATGATTCCACTGTCACAATATTTTGGTGGCTCCCTTCATAACCATAAATTATACCCTCTTCTCTCTAGTGCTGTTCTGGGCTCTCTGCGCTAAAGGCGGCAAAACGTTTACCACTTGATACTGCTGCCTGCAAAGCCATTTAATAAAGAGCAAAACTGAAAAATAAGATGCAAATGGAGAAAAACTCAAGGAGAAAAAAAAAACAGAAAAAATCAAAAGAAAGGAAGAGGGAAAGGTGAGAAGGGAAAAAAGGAACTCAAGAGACAGTATTGTGGAAATCCAAGTTAGTTTGCTTTTCAGAAAGATACCTGTGTGTTTATCAAAATGGAATAGAAAGAATGAGGTGTGACTATGGAGTAATGAAAGTTAACCCACAAGACAGACAGACACACAAATTAGTTTCATTACTTTATAGTCACACTTTTGTTAATTGCATTTCTGAATTGTTCATGTAATTTAATGTTTAGAATCTACTGGAATGGGGAGACCCCTCTGTTACTGTTACATCTCTCTTGAACACCAAGATCTATTAGCATATTCCAAATTTCTCCTACAATCACTCTTGGATAGAATGTAAGCTCCTCAAGGGCATATCACAGTTTTTCTCTGTATTCCCAGCACTTAACATAATGCTTGGCATAAAAGAGAAACTTAATAAATTTTTCTAGATTGGTTGATCAGAGGATGATCAATCAAGCCCAGGGTGTCTAGAAGGGGGTGGGGGTGGGAGTAGGATGTCCAATAATGGAGGTTTTCATAGAGAAAGATAAATAATAAGGGATTGGGCTTCTGTAATGATAAGAGGTTTGTACTCTCTACTCTTGTTCATAAAAGTAGGCCAGTCAAGGGCCTAGAAAAAACCAACCCTAAAACCATGAGACCATAAGGAAAAGGCTTCACATTTCCATTTAAAAATCTAAGTATATGGATAATCTGGAAGACAAATGCATACACAGCTCATGAAATTCTGCTGAGAGTTTGTGATGTCTGGCTTCAGTTTTGTCTGAACCACACGGGTGTGGTTCTTGTGGGTTCCTCTAGTTCTATTCACCCAAGTTAATTCAAAGAAGCAATATGGCAGATTCAAAAGCTAAAGATGATCCCATTGAAACAAATTTGTTAGTACTATCTTGTGAATATATGAACTACATGGATTGTCATTTGGTGCAATGTATTAGTTAGACAGTTAGAAGCCCTGACTTTTCTATGGCATTCCCAGTCCCTCCATTACTCACCTTTGTTGTGGTTTCTAAAACAATTTCCTTGTGCAGAAGCTCAACCACCATTTTCACATGGCCTTCTTTAGAAGCCAGATGTAAACCATTCAACCCATTCTGAAAAGGATAGAACATAGTCAGATCAAGTGCTTCATGCTGCTGTCTATAGGAGCTGTAAGAAGGCCTGCTCCCAGGGATGAGAGGTTTGGAGGGCTAGAAGGAAAGAATATTAGTGGCTGTAGAGTTAAATGAGACATGGTCACAGACTAGGGTCATTCTACAATGGCTTTTAGCATCCATATTTTCTACTCTCATTTAGCAGTAAATTTAGGAATACAAGAGGTAGAAAAGAAAGACAGGGCTATGAATTCCACTGCTGTGAGGTATGAAGATCAAGAAGTGACCTTTGATCTTATATTTCACCATAGCTACAACTAGGGCAGTGCAACAAGGGCTTTGCCCCCGGACTCCAAAATTTAGAGGATATTGACAGAGCTTTCAATCCTGTACAGGACTGCAGCATAGAAACAACTGACTTTTGCACATAGCAAGAAGAATTCGTCAGAATAAAGGGGGACTACCAGTGTTCTGTGGGTGTCTCTCCTCCAAAGTCCAACTGATTTGTCTTTCAAAGTTGATGCAAGGTTATGTTTCCCACTGATTTGCTCCAGGCATTGACAATCCCTATTCTAGCTTTAGAACTGGCACTGAATAACCCACCTCACTGGAATGGCTGTGTTACAAATTCTGAGGACAGCAGCCTCAGACCAGGGGAAGACGGGACCAGGGAGCATCAGGGCCTGACTAAGCCTTTCTCAGAGACATAAATATTCTGTAAAACATGAATTCTGAAATCCAGGCAAGGGTGAACTAAATTTGAGTGCACAGCTGTAAGTGTACTAGGGTACTCATATGATCTCTGATTTTGTCCACATGGGCACTCCCTTTCTTGGTATAGCAAAGCCCCTATAGGCTTTTTTTTTTGTTTTTTGTTTTTTTGGCAATTGGGGTTAAGTGACTTGCCCAGGGTCACACAGCTAGTAAGTGTCAAGTGTTTGGTCTGAGGCCAGATTTGAACTCAGGTCCTCCTGACTTCAGGGCCAGTGTTCTATCCACTGCACCACCTAGCTGCCCCTATCCCTATAGGCTTTATAGATAAGGCTTTGTCTATGATTTAAAAATTCATCTTCCTATACTAGTCTGGTAATGGGTCTTTCCAAGTTTAGTTGGATTGGTCCTTGGATGACAGAAATGAAGTCTGAGTGGCTTTTACACAGAAAGGATGTGGTTAGAATAGAATTGAATGCGGTTAGGAAAGTCTAGAGCAAAGAGCCCTGATAAAGTAGGGACAGCTATGGTTTTTATTGGAAAGGCTCCAGGACTTAGGATGCAGAAGCCCTGGATCTAAGTTTTAAATCTGCCATTTGGCATGGAACTATGGACAAGTTGCTCTGCTCTCTGAGTCTCAGTTTCCTTATCTATAAAATGGGAATAGCAATACTAGTATTACCCCCTTCACAGGACTTTCTTCAGAGAAGAGCTTTCCTTGAGCTTAAAGGTCTATAGAAATGGGGTCTATTTTTGAGAGGTATCTTGGGAAGCTTTATCTACTTCACAATTGTATCTATGATCATCCTAGCTTCCCCAAAGAACATATTATAACTGCATTCTGAGGTGGCATGGCTGGAAAGACAATGGGAGATTTACCTGCTATCTCTGAAGGGGGGGCTGGGGTTAGGGTTGCACAGAGGCACCCCAAGATCGCGGGGAAAAAGCCCAAATCACGGCGCGAATCTGCCTGAATGAATTAAACTCAGATCTTCTTCCAGCCAGAGAAAAAGTTTATTAAAGATATAGCATATAGGCCAGACTCCAAAGGAACCCAAACATCAGTGATCTAAATGGGGTTTAAGGTGGTTAGGTGATGCTCGCAAGGACAAGCAGCGTGAGGCAGTCTAGAAAGCTCAGCGTCTGAGTGGGGGCTGGCGTGGATAGGCCACGTGACGCCTGTTAGGATGAGCAGGCATGAGGGGTCTCAGCTTCTAGGCTTGAAAACAGCTCAGCATCAGAATGGGGGAAAGGTAAGCCTTAAGTACAGACTGAGGGAGGGGCCGTGCAGTTTGGTGAGACGAGAGGAGGGGTCTAAGGAGTGGCCAAGCATTTTGGGGTGAGGGGAGGAGGGGTCTAGGGAGATCTGGATGGGGGTGGCCAGCAAGCTGGGGCGGAACACTTGCGCCTAGCTAGGATTAAGGGTGGGAATGGCCTGGAAGGCAAAACAATGGAAAGCCAGTTGATGGGGGAGGTGGACCGTTTGGAAAAGGGTCCAGGTGAGAATCTCCGTTTGGAATGTCTGAGTGATTTGAACAGACAATGAGAATAGATAATGAAGGGAGCTGGAAGGGGAAGTTTGCTTTCAAAGGGAAATAAGGCAGTTTCTAAAACGTTAAGGGTTTCCTGGGACCGGTAAACAAAACTGAAGCCAGCTTCTTTTTGTCAAAGAGAGATAAGTGAGTCTACAAGGAATCTAAAAGTTTTAAGGTTTTTCTGGGAATTGTAGGTAAACCTCTTCATTTCTATGCAAAAAAAGTCTCCCAAATCCCTCTTAATTCCAGGGTCTTTGCTCTGTTGATTCTCTCCAATTTATTTTGTATAGCTCTTTTTGGTATAGAGCTTTTTATATGTTGTCTCCCCCAATTAGAATGTCAGCTCCTTGAGGGTGTGGACCACTTTCTGCCTTTCTTTGTATCCCCAGCACTTAGTACAGTGCCTGGCATACAATAGGTGCTTAGATAAATGCTTATTGATTAACTGATATTTTAATATCTGAAATTCTGAATGTCATTCCTTTATCTGAAGATAAAAATTAAAATGTAGAACTCCCTTAGAGGTATTGCACACTAAATTTTGTAAATCATTTATACTTCAGTGCGAATGAATTTATCAGCTTACAGCTAATTTAGAGCAGATGAGAGGGGAGAAGATGGAAAGAACATAAGGGTACTGAGATAAAAGAAAGGATTTGGGGAGAAGAGTTGAAAGTGAATGGGATATAACCTCTGTGAAGACTTCTCAGGGTGGTGATGAAAAGACTGTCTCGAAACTAGAGACAGGCTCCGAGAAAACGAACAGGCCCTAAATTTAATTCGGCCCTAAACCCTCTCCTGATTGCCACTGCCACGTCCGCACTAGGTATACTAAATAAGGACATGTATGTTTGAATTGGCTATACCCTGTTTCCTTGTTCTTTGGGAATGGGAAAGATTTTGCACCTAGAATGTAAGCCCACCTCCCAGCCAATGGGAGTAAGGGACAGTTGCGGAGTGGGAGTTTCTTATTTGCGTTAAGATATATAAACTTGCTTTGTCCTTTGTGCCTAGCCTCTCTCCTGCTGGTAGTGTACTGGAGGAGTAGACGCCCCTTCTCGCGAGATTGTAATAAAGAGTAATTTTTGCTTCTTTGAGAAGTCTCTGAGTTTAATTGTGTTAGAGTCACTGTACCACACAGCTTGTTCTTCAGAAGTCATCAAGTCCAGCCCATGCCCTATTAGGAATCCTCTTGGCAACACTCCTGATAAGAAGCTATCTAGCTTTTGCTTAAATATGTCCAGTGATAGAGAACTTGCTGTCTTCTGAGGCAGCCTCTTCCACTACTGGATGGTTCCAATTGTTAAGATTTTCCTCACATTGAACTGAAATGTGTCTCTGCAGTGCCGAACCCCATTGCTCCTCTGGGACCAAAAAAAAAGACCAAATCTAATCCTTCTTCTGCAAAATAGCCCTTCATATACTTGAAGTCAGGGGTCATGTCCCCCTGAGTCTTCTCTTCTCTAGATTAAATAGCCCCATTTCTTTCATTGTTTCTATGACCCACCATCCAAGGCATGTGATCTGTTCAGCTACTTCCTTTATACTATCATCATTACATAGCCCAGTGCTACCACCCCCAATCGCTATCTTCTCCTGCCCTTTGGAACTCCATTTACTTGTTAACAAATTATCTTTTATTCTTGATTTCTTATTATAACACTCCCTACATTTACTGAAACATGACTTTCCCCTGAGAGCTGTGTGTCTCTGGTAACCCTCTAATGCTGCTCATGTTCTTACTTTCCCTGACTCTCAGGACAGGGAGTCAGCATACTCTTTCCCACTCCTACCAATTCTAAACCCTTGCTTTGTCACTATCATTCAACCATATCAACCTACATTTATGCTGTCCAACTGTACCACCTTCTCTATACTTCTCACCATCATCTAGCAGCCTCTTGGTTAATTTCCCACCTTCTTCCATGATTCCAGCACCTGGCCAGAATCCTCCTCTCTATATTTTCCTTTGTTATCATCCTTGAAGACCTCAAAATTGATACTGATGAGACATATCTTTATAACACCCTTCTGCACATTTTTTTTTAACTTAAATGACTTTGATTTCCACTGTCTTTAGTCACTCAGTAAGATGTGACCACACAGACCTCTCTATCACTAGAAACTTGCTCCACTCTCAAGGTTCTGCTCTCTAAAATTCTCCTTCTGGCTATATTTTCTTGCCCTTAAGTCCCCCCTAGAAGTATTGTTAAATCTTTTTTTTTGTATTTATTTAGTTAGTTAGTTAGTTTTCAACGTTCACTTTTATAAGATTCTGAGTTTCAAATTTTTTTCTCCCTCTCTTCTTCCCCTACCCCCTCCCTCCCTCCCTTACCCCCTTCCCAAAATGGCAAGCAATCTAATGTAGACTACACATGTAAAATCATATTAAAAATAATTCCACATGTTGTGAAAGAAGAATCAGAATAAAAGGGAAGAACGAGAGAGAAAAAACAAAAAAAAGGTAAAAAATAGTATGTTTTGATCTGCATTCAGACTCCATAGTTCTTTTTCTGGATGTGGGTAACATTTTCCATCGTGAGTCTTTTGGAATTGTCTTAGATCATTGTATTACTGAGAAGAGCCAAGTCTAACAAAGTCAGTCATCGCACAATGTTGCTGTTACTGTGTACAATGTTCTCCTGGTTCTGCTCACTCCACTCAGCATCAGTTCATGTAAGTCTTTCCAGGTTTTTCTGAAGACTGCCTGCTCATCACTTCTTATTGCACAATAGTATTCCATTACATTCATAC